AATAAAAGTATTTTAAAAAAGAATACAAACAACAATAAGTGTTAGCAAGGATGTAGGGAGAAAGGCACACTCATACATTGCTGGTGGGACTGCAAATTAGTGCAACCAATATGGAAAGCAGTATGGAGACTCCTTGGAAAACTTGGAATGGAATCACCATTTGACCCAGTTATCCCATTCCTCAATTTATACCCAAAGGACTTAAAAACAGCAGACTACAGGGACACAGCCACATCAATGTTTATAGCAGCATAATTCACAATAGCTAAATTGTGGAACCAACCTAGATGCCCTTCAGTAGATGAATGAATAAAGAAACTTTGGAATATATACACAATTGAATGTTACTCAGCATTAAAAGAGAATAAAATCATGGCATTTGCAGGCAAATGGATGGAGTTGGAGAATATTATGATAAGTAAGCCAATCCCAAGAAACCAAATGCTGATCCATAATGCAAATGGGGCAGAGAGCATGGGAGGAATGAAGGAACTTTAGGTAGGGAGGGGAAGGGAAGGGCAGGGGAATAGGAAGGATGGTGGAATGAGATGGACATTATTACCCCAAGTACATGTATGAAGACATGAATGGTGTGACTCTACTTTGTGTACAACCAGACACATGAAAATTTGTGCTGAATATGTGTACTATGAATTGAAATTCATTCTGCTGTCATATGATACAAATTAGAATAAACGAATAATGTAAAACAATTTTAAAAAACAGAGTAGATCTTTGTTGTTGTGTTAAGGAATTGTTCTTCATGGAGCTACTGGAATGGGTATATGAAAACAAAGTTTTCATTTGAATGAATTTGGTATAGTTGCTTAAAGTTATGAACCTCTAGGAGAAATGGTAATTATTTTTCTTTATTTAAGTGATATAAACAGATAAAACATTTTCCAGCCTCCTTTTTAGAAATTTAAATTTTTTCTTCAGTGTTAGTTATAAAAATTCAGAAGAGTGTTGGGGACATAGCACAGTGGTAGAATGCTTACCCAGCATGGGTAACGTCTTGGGATTGAACTACATACAGCACCACAAAAAGAAAAAAAGAAAAAAAAATCAGAAGAGCTTTTGTTTTCTGTTTTTCAGATACCAGTATATCTTTTGTTTATAAGAGTAACCATGTAAAAATATCCCCTTGGTGATTACTGATTTTCCTCTGCTTCCACTTGTTTGGTTGGTGAGAAGCTTGCTTGGGCAAATAGGAAAATTTTTTCTTTATTATGACAAAAGCCATATATGCTTATACATATATTTAAAAAATGGCTAAATTTAGGAAAAATGAAGTATATAAAGTAAAAAGTAGAAATTCTTCCCTTCATCAGTCCCTTGAAACATGAATGTGTATCTGCATGTATATTGGAATGATTCTATATATGTGTGTGTAGTGTATGTGAGTGTGTGTGTGTGTATATCTATCTATATATATATATGATCCAGCAACTCCACTTCTAGGTATATGACCAAAATAACTGAAAGCAGAATTTAAACAGACATTTGTACACCAATGTTGATTATATATCTCCTTTTTTCTGAGAATCAAACTCAGGACCTGTGCATCCTAGAAAAGTGCTCCACAACTGAGGTACATCCCCAGCCCAAATTTACTTCTTTAAAAGTTTATTTCTCAGGGGGAGCTGGGGTTGTGGCTCGGTGGTAGAGCGATTGCCTAGCATGTGTGAGGCACTGGGTTCAATCCTCAGCACCACCTAAAAATAAATAAAGTATCCATTACAAGTAAAAAAAATTTTTAAGTGTATTTCTGTTCTTTTTACACATGGTGCTAGAAAAATCCTACATCAACATGCAAAAAGAGTGAAGTGGGACCTTTAACTTACAAAAATTAACTCAAAAATCAAATACCTAAACTAAAAAGCTAAAAGTATAAAGCTCTTAGAAGAAATACTAGGAAAGAGATCTTTACAACAATGGATTTAGCAATGATTTCTTATATAAAACACCACAAGCACAGACAATGAAAGTCACAGAATGGAAGAATACATTTGCAGATCATATAGTTGATAAGGGATTAATATCCAAAATAAATAAAAAGTCCTATAACTTAATTACAATTAAAAAACTCTATTCAAAAATGGATAATAATTTGAATAGACATTTCTCCAAAGAAGATATACAAATGGCAAATGATTACATGAAAAGATACTCAACATCAGCAGTCATTAGGAAATGCAAATAAATCAAGGTCACAATGGAATACTACTTCACATCCATTAGAATGGCTATTATTAAAAACAACAACAACAATAACAAGTATTAGCAAGGATATGAGAATTGCAACACTTTCACATTTTAGGTGGGAATATACTCAGCTGTGGAAAATAGTATGGCAGTTTCTGTAAATGTTTAACAGAATGATCATATAATTCAGCAACTCCACTTCTAAGTATATGACCAAAATAACTGAAAGCAAAATTTAAACAGACATTTGTACACCAATGTTGATAGCAGGATTAGTCAGAATAGCCAGCCAAAGGAAGGTAATGATCCACATATCTACCAACAGATGAATGAATAATCAAAATATGGTATGCTACAAACAAAATATGGTACAAACACAAACTCACAGGAATTCTGATATATGCTACAATGTAGATAAACGCTGAAACAGACTAAACACAAAAGGGCATACATTATATAATTTCACTTGTATGAGAAATAGGCAAATTCAAAGAGATAGAAAGTAGAACACTGGTTACCAGTAGCTGGGGGAAGAGAATGTGGGTATTGATTGTTTAATGGGTAGATGGTTTCTACTTATGATAAAAAGTTCTGGAGATAAACAGAGGGGAAAGTTGCACAGGATTGTGACTATACTAAATGTCATTGACTTGAACACTTAAAAGTGGTAAAATTTTGTAACTTTTACTTCAATAACAAATTTAAATACATTTATTTTTACTTAGGATTACTGTTATATCAACATCACTTGATATTTAAAATATTTGAGACAATTTGCAGAAATGACAAAGTAAAGACCTCTGACAAGTCTCTCTTCCAAAAAAAATTCTTTTGACAATGCTAGAAAACATAGTTAAGCCAGGCATGGTGGCACAGATCTATAATCCCTGCAACTCAGCGGTTGAAGCATGAGGATTGCAAGTTTGAGGACAACAGCAACCCTGTCTCAAAATAAAAAGGGCTGGGGTGTAGCTCAATGTTAAAACACCGTGGGTTCACTCTCCAGTAACAAAAAATGTCAACCACCTTTCCCAAAACTGGAAATTAACTGAAGGCTTGCAAAACTCAAAGGAACTTTTATCGAAGAAAAAACGAATCTCGGTAGGAAAGTGACCTTTGTGACCCCACCGCCCCCAACACACTCAATCCTGGGTATAGAACTCGGCGCCTCACACATGCTAGGCAAGCACTCAGCTACATCCAAGCCCTTTTAATTTCTTATTTTGGGACGGGGTCTCACTAAATTGCCCAGACTGGCCTTAAGCTTGTGATACTCTTGTCTCGGTATCCACAGTAGCCTGGGATTACAGGTGTATGCCACCATGCTTGGCTGCCTTTGTGACATTTTATCTATCCCATTACTTGAACACCAACAGCCCAATAATAAAGGCAACAACAACTAAAATATGTGAATTTGCAGGAGGTTCTCTTTATATATTACTTTACTCAGTACCAACAGCCTTTGCCCAGGGGATATTTATCCAAAAGAATCAGGAGCAATTGTTTAACATCTCAGCTGCCTAGGTGATAATAGATGGGGTAATATTAAGCTGGAAAAAAATTAAAAGCTGAAAAATGACATATCCATAAGTGGATATGAAAAATTCTGACATATTATTCCCTATAATCTAAAAGACCCCATACATGATACCTGGAAGTATGTGAATACCGAAGAAAAATTACAAAAAGCCCTAAACTCTCATAATCTTAAAACTGTGCAAGCAAGAACTGAAGGCTAACAACAATGTTGTCAATAGCCTAAGTGGTGAAAGAATACGTGACACAAAAACAAACTCTTGGGGAAAACGGGGACTTTTAGATCTATGCATCCTATTTAAGAAAATCTCCATTGCTTCATTAGCTGATCAATAAACCAAACAAGCAAAAACTTCAGAGGCCACACATGACAAAGAATTTATTCAGATAAGTCACTAGACAAAAAACAGCCACTCCAACAAACAATAGCAAACAGCACAACAAAATTAGTGAGCTTGAAGATAAATCAAATAAGGTTGTCTAAGAAACATAAGGAAAAAGACATACAGGACACAACAGAATATTAATATCCACACATCTTCAGAAGGAGAGAAAACTGCCAGTACATAGCAAATAATTTAGATGGTCTATATTCCTGATTCCAGGTAAGAACCTCTTAATCCAATGATAGAAGTGTCTTTGTTGTTCATAGATGGCCCCTCAGATCATATCTGATACTCTGTATATATATCCAAAACCATTGACTTACACGTGTTAGAAAGTTGAGTTTTTATGATATGTGAATTATATCAACAACTAGAATCAATAATTATGTATAAGTAATAATGTTTGAGTCTTTCCAAAGTCAAAATTTCTTACAAATAGAATAAAAAGTCCCTTAAGAATTCTTACAATTTAAATATTTAATGCCAGAGATATAGCTCAGTGATAGAATGCTTGCCCAGCATGCATGAGGCACTGGGTTCAATTCCCAGCATTGTAAATAAATAATAACAATAATAATAATAATAATAATAAAATAAATATTTAATCCCGAAACCAATAAATTGTTATTTCAATTATACTATACAGAAGTTTTATGAATATTTTTCTTTATAGCAGGAGTTTCTAGGAGTCTACAAACCAATTAGTGGCACACAGAAAACAGTGCTGCTTAAAGAGTTTTACTGCATACTACAGAAGCTACAAAAATGAAAGCTAACTGTTCTCTTGCAAGAGAGTTTTATTGCCAACTACAGAAGCAACAAAAACATAAGCAAACTCTTTTCTTTCAAAGTCAGCCCTGAAATGCTACTCACCAAGTACACAGCTCTTTGGAAGAAGGTAGTGGTCTCCAGGATTTTGTGCATTGTGATGGTTTCCAGCTCATCAGGATCTAGCTGTTCTTTTTCAAAGGGCATTCCATTGAACAGAACGACAGGCAGCGGACCGACACCAGTCTGCTCATAGTAGCCTCTTCCTTCCTAGAACACAAGGGAGCACAAAACCGTACATTTTTTGCCCATCATGACACAAATGAACAAAGCTTATCTTTCTTACATCCCTCTTCTAATAGGAATAAATGAGTTTGAAGTATAAAACCCCCAAAAAATCAAATTAGAAAGTGGTTATACATGTTATGTGTGTATTGCAGGCTACATATTGCATATACTATGGTTAACATTATAAGTACAACAGAACTTCCTGTAATGATGTAAATACTCTGTGTTGTCCAGTGTAGTAGTTACTAACTGCATGTGGCTACTGAGCACTTCAAATATTGCTACAATGACTAAGTAACTAAATCTTCAATTTTAGTTAATTTCCATTTAAAAGGCCACATATAGCTGGGGGGTTCCCATAACCACTCAGCACAGCTAGCTGCTACCATAAATTAATAATGCTCTTGAGCAGAATGCCCTGAAATATTTACACCCAATTCAAAATAAATAAGGGTCCATAAAACTATCAAAAAATTATACCTGTAGAAAACAAAATAAGGTTTGTGGGAAAACAGGGTTCAAAAATTGCTCTAAGAAATACTAAGTCAAATCTTTCACCTTTTCTAGTACAAAAGAAGTTTCTTAATAAGAAAATACCAAGGCAACAAAATGGTAAATCTAAAATGAACACTTCTCCTATCAACAAGGGTACTGTTCCCTCAAACTAACTTTTCTGACTAAAAACTACATTACCACCTAAGATGTAACAAATACCTTGTAAGTGGATCTTTTCTGAAAGTTGCACAATTTATTTATAACTTGTTCTTAGATAGGCCAAACAAAAAACTAATAATTAATATTAGTCATCAATAATAGATTTATTTGACTCTAGTCAGATCTAGCCCAGTAATAAGTAACAGATGGAGTATAATACAGTACAGTAAAAAGGGCTTTCTAGGTTGATTTCAGTGTGTATGTATTTATTTATTTAGTGCAGTACTGGGGATTGAACCAACAGGCACTCTACCACTGGGCTACTGATATAGGGATCCAACCCTAATTTGCCCAGGCTGGCCTTATACTTGCGATATTCCTGCCTCAGCCTCTAGAATCGATAGAATTACTTACAGGCATGAGCCACCATTCATTGTTTAAAATGTTTAAATTAACACTTCCAAACTCATACCATGTTAATTCTATTTTAAAACCTAAACTATATCACAGAAGTCCTTAAAAACTCAATTTTAATATAACTTGAGCTTTGATACCATCCTCCTCTACCAATTAAAACAAAAAAGTTAGGTGAGGTGTTGCACACCTATAGTCCCAGCACTCAGAAGGCTGAGGTGGGAAGATCACTTGAGCCCACGTTAGAAACCAGCAGGCACAACACAACAAGATCCCATCTCAAATTTTGAAAATAAAGCAAAACAAAAAACCTCACATTATAATTCCAAGAGATAATAATAAATAAGTAACATGGATCTTATATATAGAAAGGTATTGGAGTCACATTCAGGAATGGAAGGAGGCAATTTAACTAATTTACTTTCCTTTTTCACCTCTTGTATATAGTTTATAATACAAATAACAAAACAACCCAGTTAGCAAAGTAGGATTTAAGCATGACAAGTGAGATTTTTCTATAAACAAATCACTGGAAATGTTAATGATAAATTATTAACAAACATTAATTACTGTCAAAGTCTTGTAATGAGCCACTCACAAATGACAAATGAGATTAATAAGGGCTCATGGTTATATATGTCAAAAATAAAATGTTTGCATGTACAAGAAAAAACTTCTCCTAATGGCTTTGAAAGATATAAATATACACCTAATCAGAAAAAAAAAAAAATATGTTCAGCTAAAAAGTTCTACTTAAATTGTATCGTCTACTTATCATACACAAAAGATATTATTATTTCAGATTTGTTAACAAAAGGCACAAATATATTCATAAGTACAATTATATAGGATAAAAGCAGTCATTTTTTCCTAAAACTAATTATTTCAGAAGAACCTGTTCGCGTGTTTGTGTGTGTGTGTGTGTGTGTGTAGGTAAAGCTCTTGCAGTTTAAAAACTCTTATTAATCATTAGATTCTTAGGACTTCTGAGATCTTCTCAACATCCTTGCTTTGAGAGAACTTTACCTAAATAGTTAGGAAACTAAGCAGCTTAAATCTGTTGATACAGATGAGGAAAATGGCCAAGTCTGGGAAAGTACTTAAGAGCCTGGTCTGTGATATTCTCTTCAGATCTTTAGCAGAAGCAAGATTTAAACACAAGTAAAAATAACCTTTCTCCCAATTTGTCTCTTCTATTCAAAAATTTTCAAGCAAATACTTTTTCTCTTTTTAATGCGATGTTAGAGATTAAATACAGGACCTCATATACTCTACATGTACACCCCAACCCCAAAGCAAATACTTTTGATAAAGCAGTCATCGGAAATTAAAAAAAACAAACAAAAAAAAGCCACTTGTACTTTTTCTTCAATAGGTGCAGAGAAAATGAAAGTTAAACATTTCTAAGTATTATGAATGAGAAAATTCCATAAATTCTCTCAAATTTTTGATATTCCCAAAGTGATCCCACTTTTCCTTTACTTCACTTACTCTTTTTCTACAGAGTATTATTCCTGCTGTTTTTGTATGAATATGGAAAAAAAATTACTAGGTTTTATTGTTTCATTTTGAAAAAAAAAAAAAACAGAAAAGGGGCTGGAGGTGTAGTTCAGCAGCAGAATGCTTGCCTTGCACACTGGAGGCACTGGGTTCAATCCTCAGTACCCAAGGGAGGAAAAAAAAAAGACAGAAAAGTAAGTAACTGAACACAAGGTTGCCATCCTCAGGCTACTTTACGACCTCATTTACCAGTGCTCCCAAGAGACCTTCAGGCTTCCTCTTGCCCCAAAGTGACAGAACTGCCCTCTTCTGCACTGGGCCTTCACAAACAAGGAGCGAACACTCAGAACATCACCATCATCAAAACAATACTGTTCTCATCTGTTTGTCTCTTCCAATGAAACTGTGTGAATTCCCCCAAAGTAGAACCACATTGTATTATCAGGGCTGATAGCAGGAGGTTACCCAGTATTATTACTGTTTTAGAATTCAAACTTTATTCCTTACTCCAAAACAGTTCTGAAATTTCTCTAGTTATGATCTTGTGTCTTGTTCTTACTAAATAGTATTTTGTGCAATCCCTCTAAAACTTGAATCACCTTATAGTAGCATATCTCCTAACAAATCTCAATTAACTAAATTACCTGATTAATAAACACTTGCTACTATAGTATGGTGAGGTGGTCCTCTTAGAGCCTTGGATCCCCAGCAGCTTTGCAGAACACTTAAGTATTAACTTCATTTAAGGAAACCCACAGACCATTAATGGACAGAATATGAATCAATTTGATTTTGGCATTCAAATTCTAGCACTTTGGGAAAGCACAAAGTTTTTGAAGATCATGGCCTACCATAATAATGCACTTAAAAATTTGAGTTTAAATTACCTCATCAAGGTTTACATTCTCTCCAAAAGTTTCTACATTAAAGTTCTGCACTGAACTCTCTCACCAAAGAAAAAAATTAAAGAACTAAAGTTCACTAATATTTTATGTCCCTTCCTCTGACTTCTCTTCAATTTCCTTGGCCTTTAAAGTCTCTTTCTTAAAAACATTTTTGGAATTTTTCTTAGTTATTTTGTTTATTTATTTTTATGTGGTGCTGAGAATCGAACCCAGTGCCGCACATATGCAAGGCAAGCGCTCTGCCAGAGAGCCACAACTCCAGCCCTATGGTCTTTAATATCACCAATGTTCCTTTAGACTAAAGCCACAGAAAGAGTGTCTCCCAAAAAAATACATGATTTGTGGCCATGAGTATTCATTGGTAGAGAAGCATAAATTTGAGATCTAAATTTAGAATTAGGTCTTTGGTTATATCCTGCAAAAAGTTGAATAAATAATAAGAAAATGAGGGTGAGGTACTAAAAAAAATTGAGTTTAGATTATACCCAAGATGCTTAAATCACTTACCTTCTGGGACCAGGAGTTGAAGGAATAACATACAACTATGTAATTGGAACCTATGTCTATACTGCACATTTTACCAAAACTATTTTTATGCATATTATTTCATTTGATCCTCAAATAATCCCATGAAGTAAGTAGGGAAATATCAGATTCACTTCAGAGATTATGAAATTACAATTCAGAGAGGTATAGTGACTTACCTAGTTATAACATTCCCACTAAGAGACAGAAAACTTTAAGGTTCAGGGATCTTTTCTCTAAGTCATTCCGTCAATTCTTGGGTCCAGAAGATAAGTGATAAAAACACATCAAAACTAAGTACTGGGGCTAGGGTTGTGGCTCAGTGGTAGAGAACTCACCTAGCACATGCGAGGTGCTGGGTTTGATCCTCAGCACCACATAAAAATAAACAAATAAAATAAAGGTATTGTGTCCAACTACAAATATTAAAAAAAAAAAAAAGTAAGTACCATGTGCAGGCTGAATACGTGGTAATAAAACTGTATTATGGGATTTTTTTTTGGTGTGTGTGTGTGTGTGTGTGTGTTCTCTCTCTCTCTGAATAGATAGAACACTGTCATGAGATAATTCTAAGGAGAAAGAAGACTACATGTTCTCTAAAATTACATATCACCATTGATAATGCTCTGGAGCACTTATGGGTTGTAACATTAGTGATTTACAAAATTTACTTACTAAGTTGTGACAAGCACTTATTTTAAATCAAAGAACATCAAGTAGAATACATCACAATGCATCCCATTAACACTAAACACTGTCTTACTCAAAACACTAACACTAGTAAAGAACTCTCTAGAAGGCCCATGCTTAGTAACCATTAGTTGTTTCTGTTCCCAAATCAACTATCTCATTAGTGAAATAACAAAATTTAATGCTACATAAACCAATAAATGAGTACAGAAAGAAAAGGTTGTTCTACCTACAAACTGAATGACTGGAAAACTCAAAAAGATAAGGATAAAACTAACTGAGGCTAAACTGAGTATGGGTCAGACAAGTTAAAATGCTTGGGAAGGAGATTATAAAAATCTAGAAGGATTCTGTACTCAAATAAAAAAAATTATAAATAATTCATTGAGTGTGGTTCATAAAGGAATGATAGCTCAAAGAAATCAAAGAATTTTTTCTTCATTGAAAAAAAGTTGGTAAAAACTTTTTCTTTTTTTTATTTTTTTTATTAGTTCTAATCAGTTATACATGACAATAGAAAGCTATGGAGCAGAATTTTTCACTTCTCAGCCATACAGGACATAAAGTCACACCATTCGTGCAATCATACATGTACCTAGGGTAATGATGTCCATTTCATTCCACCATCTTTCCTACCCTCTTGCTTCCTCCCCACCTCATATATTTTAAATTAAAATGTTTCAGAAATGCATTTTGATTTCTTGCCTTAACATACATTTTCAATAAGCTGACCAAATTGTTCCTGCTTATAACAGGTAAAGGTCGTTTATTGTATTTAATGTTTCATAAGAAAAATAATTATCTTTAAATTTAAAAATTTTAAATTCCCTTATTATATCCTTACTACCGCTTTGTCACTCCTGTTTATGACATTTCTTAATATAATACCATCTCTAGCCCAAACAATTAAAGCCAATATGATATATACTAAGCTGTATATCATCTCCCAGCTGGACATTTCAAAGTTTTTGTCTAGAACATAGTTCATACAAGCACTACTACTAAATTATAAAAAGTATTTATTCTGCAATTTAATAGTTAATATGCAAGTTAAAATCAGTGATAGCTTCACAAAACTGAAGTATAAACTACTTTTTCAAACAGTAAAAAGTGATCTGGTTTCTAAGGGTTTTTTTTTTTTAATTTTTTGCACATTTTTAATTGGTGCATTATAGTTGTACATATTAATGGATTTGTTGTTACATATTCCTACATGCACACAATATAATGACATAATTTGGCCAATATCACTCCCCAGCATTACCACCTTTCCTCCCCGTCTTCCACACCATTGTCTCTTCCTTCTACAAATCTCCCTTTGAATTTTTTGGAGATCCAACCCCATTTTTGTTTTTCTTTTTCCTCTCTAGCTTCTGCATATATGAAAGGAAAACATACAACACTTAACCTTCTGAGTTTGACTTATTTCACTTAAAATGATGGTCTCTAGTTCCATCCGTTTTTCTGCAAATGCCATCATTTCAATTTTATTTATAAATGAATAAAATTCCACTGTGTGTGTATATATATATATATATATATATATATATATATATATATATATATATATATATACCACATTTCTAATTTTTTAAAAGCTAGACAGTCAAGTGTTATGTGCCTGCAGTATCTGACTTAGGAGGATCTTGAGTTTGAGGCCAACCAGGACAACATGGTGAGGCCATGGCTCAAAAAAAAAACCCAAAAGCTATTAAATTTTTAAATGTTAAGTACGGAACACTTCAACTACACTCCCACCATTAACAACCCTCCCCAAAAGAAGACAGTACAATATTGCAGTTAAATGAGATGTATCAAAGAATTTATTACCTTCCGATTCTGATCGTAAGCAGAATCAATCCCCAAAATGCTATTCACTTCCACATATGGATATTTCTTCTCCAGGACACTGACCACATGTTCAACTTTTACTTTCTCTCCAGTTCTCACCTTGTTATAGATCTGAACAAAGAAACCAACAGGTAACCACACTTTTAAACCCAAATTTCAAAATGTTCATTATGAAAGATTTCTGAATGTAGAAAAAAAAAAACATTTTTCTTAAGAGGTCAAATTGGAACACAGTAAGAATTCTCCCTTTTCTAAATACTTCATTAAAATGCCTTCCTAGATGAGAAACTAAATAATTTTGAAATGGCACAAAGAGTTGAAATTAAAAAAGTTAAGTGCTTCAATCAATTCATAATCACATTAAGTTCCAAATGCAAAATTCATTAAGGAAAATCCGACCACTTATAAGTAATCACTGAGATGAGGATGCATTCCCATGATGTTTAGGGTAAAAAAAGGTAGAAATTATATATGGCTAAATCCCTGTGTTTAAAAAGCAGATAAAGCTGGGCGATGTGGTGCACGCCTATATCCCAGGGGGCAGAGGCAGGAATATGGTGAGTTCAAAGCCAGCCTCAGACAAGACAAGCAAGTCAGTGAGACCCTATCTCTAAATAAAATACAAAATAGGGCTGGGACTATGGCTCAGTGGTCGAGTGCCGGAAAAAAAATAGCAGATAAAAAATAAATAGCAAATTGTGTCTATATGTGTACAGTTCAACATCTAAAAGGCTGCAAGGCAACCCTTTAATGATACCTACTTTTAAAGAGGATCAGGGAAGGGAAAGGGGTGAGACTGAGAAATTTTAAGCTGATACAAATATTATTTGAAATTTTTAATAATAAACATGTATTATTTTTATAATAAAAATTAAACAAAAAAATAAAATTTGTATTATCCTTTCCTTAACATGCCTATCCAGGAAGGTGGGGGAGAGGGGCTTTGAAAAGCAGACTTTTAAAACATTTGTTATTCTGAGTGGTCTCTTTTTCTATTTCATTCTCCACAACCCCACTGCTAACTATCTTCCTCATCATTTCTCATGGAAATAACAGAGCAGCTTATCAACTAGAATCCCAGTTACTCCCTTTGCCCTGCATGAGATCCATCTCCACATTGCAGCAGAATGGAGTTTTTAAATCTGCCTGCCATGTTCCACACACCCCAGCTGCCTACACTACACAGGCCCTGAGGAATAGCTCCCCCTTCCACTTTGCTCTCACAATCCCCCCAGCTCACACTAACAATTTGGAATAGCCATGTATGACTTGCAACTGCTTAACTGACTACCACTTTTCCTCCTAGACTCTGCTGGGACAACTTCCCACTCCACAAAAACACCCAAGACCTTCCCAGCTGGAACAAAGGCCCTGTGCCACATAGCCAGCTATGTTCTCCACACTGTAGAACACTCTCTCTCTGTATCTGTCCTCCAGGAAGTTGTAATGTCATTGAAGACAAGGGTGAAGTCTTATGTCTTTGTATTCGCCATAGATAGTACCAGGCCTGGCACATGCTGGGTCTTCAATAAATGTTTGCCAAAAAAGTAAGTGAACATTCTAATGAACAAAAAATGTCTCAAATGAAACTCAAAACAATAAATATAATAACACGCAGATTAACATCATGTATTTGGATAGAAGTGGTGGGATTAAATGCTTTAATGTATTATTTAAGGTTATCATTAATCTGAAAACAAAAGAAGTTACTTACAAAGTTGTTTATATTCAAAAATTTTTAAAAAAAGAAATAACAAGAAAACAGAGAATTTCGATTGAACTTGTATAAGTAAATCCTTTGACTATACATACAAGTAAGAGCATTTCAGATTTTCTAACAAACATAGAAAAACAAGACTAGGATCAATAAGAATTTTATGAGTTATATGTTACGCTAAATCCTAATTTTAAAAATTCATGACAGTCTTAAAGAAAAAAAGTAAACATTTTTTTAAACAAGTAGAGACTATCACATTTGATAGAAGATATTAACCAGTAATTTCAAAGCACCAAAGGGCAGATGACTAAGATGCTCTGGCAGGGCTCCTAAAGAATCTCATCTTGGATGAAATCTTAGCAATCTATTATTGATGTTAGCAAATCAATATAGTAAAAGCAATCCCTGAAATATAAAATACATAGTTTATGTGAATAATTTACAGAAAAACAAAATCCTTCTTACCACATTTTATGCTTTACACCAAGTTAAATCTTAAAAAACTATATGTCATTTTGAACAAAAACATACATGTGTCAGAGTTTGAAAGGCATGATAATCATCCACTTCTTGGACAACGTAATTATATGCTCTAAGAACAGCCACTCCGGCATCTTGCATCCCATCAACATCTTCAGAGTCATTAACCACAAATACAAAACCAATTCTAGAGGGAAAAGAAGAAGAAACATCTCAAAGAATGAAAACCAGCTGAAAAGAACAGCATCCTGAGGTACTGCAGATAATATAAGAACACAATTACTAAGTGAAAAGCACAGTTCACACCCCACTCTAACCCAGTTGACAGAGGCAGTCACACTTCACATACAAAATAAGAGTAGGTTCTCAAAATGACGTAGGCTTTTCCAATGTAAAAGCAAGCTGTTTCTAATCATACAGAGATTCCGTTACTGACATGAAGGGAATTACTTAGTTCTAGATGGAAATTTTATTCTGCTTTTAAACAAAAAATTGGGGAAATGAAAGCTTTTGGACACTAAAAGTAAACAAGGATAGCTTCTGAGATTTAACACAAGCAACATCAGAAATATAGATAAAAGGAAAATATGGATAAAAATTTATAATTGGCCTATACCAAACAACCACAACCAAGGTTAAGTTTATAACATTTTAAAATAAAGGCATAAACCACTAGAAAAATGCTATTATGAATCTACAGATGGGATTAGGAAAAATACTAGAATGAATCAGATGTAACTTTCCTATGTTCATACATGAATACACGACCAGTGTAACTCCACATCATGTATAATCACAAGAATGGGAAGTTATACGCCATTGCATATATAATATGTCAAAATACATTCTATTTGTCATATATAACTAAAAAGAACAAATAAAAATGAAATTAAATTTTAAAAAATTAAAAACTTTTGCTCTATAAAAAGCAGAAGGAAAAGCCACAAACTGGCAGAAAATCTTAGCAAAATACCCATTTGATAAAGGACTGGTAGCTAAAATATAAAAACAACTCTGAAAACAACATTAGGAAAGCAACCAAATTTTATAATGGACAAATAATCTATACAGACACTTTACCAAAAAAGATATGCGGAACATCCTATGTCATTGCAGAACAATAATGTTATATTACTACATGTCTATTAGAATGGCCAAACACAAAAACACTGACAATACGAAACACTGGCATGGAGTGGAACCACAGGAACTCTCATTCACTGCCAGTAGAAGTGCAGCTACTTTGTAAGACAACTAATCATACACTTTTGTTTTATTTATTGTTGTTGTTTTTATTCCTTCACTCCTGTCCTTTTCTTCTCTCCTTGGCCCCATCCTAAAGTAATACCCACGAAGGGAGCCTCTAGCACAGCAATCCCTACATTTCCCATCAAATATCTCTTTAATTCTAATGAAGTATTTTAATGGAGGAACACTGGTGTTTCACTGGGAGCAAAATAAATGTTAACAGTGGCCACAATATTGTTTCTGTGATCTCTGTATAGGTTTCAGAGCAGAGAGTCAACTGGGGGCTAGTTTTAGAACCCTTGAGAGTGAGGTTGGCAATAAAAGAGGAAAAAGTTTGGAGATGGGATAAAGAGAAGACAGTGGCCAAAACAAGGTGTCACACTGCTCTTCTGTGAAAAGCATCCCAGAAGAGTTTTATGTGACTGGAGACCAACAGAGGCACCAGCCCTTTGATTTGAGTTGTACAGGCACTTGAATAAATAGTGAATTCTGGCTAACTGCTTTTACCTAAAGTCATCTCAGGCACTAAATGAAAGATTTGAAACAAGGAACACTAATATTTATCTGCATATTAACAAATTAAAATGAGCCAAAAATGTTCTCTTCCTCTGGAAAATACACAATACATTCATACAAACTAAGTACCTGCCCACAGAAATGATTTTGCCAGATGCCCTTTTAATATTAAGGTTAATAACATCGGTGTTCTTTAGTACTCATGTGGAATTAAATCATGATTTGCGGGCTAGGGATGTGGCTCAAGCAGTAGCGCGCTCGCCTGGCATGCATGCAGCCTGGGTTCAATCCTCAGCACCACATACAAACAAAGATGTTGTGTCCGCCAATAACTAAAAAAAAAAATTCTCTCTCTCTTTTTAAAAAAAAAAAAAAAATCATGATTTGCCTTGGATAAGTGGATTTGTGCTCATTTCCCAGTCAAATAAGATAGAAGACTTGAATACTGAGATCAAAGCTACATATACCAAAAAACCCACTTGGATTTGGCGCCTAAGGGATGCTGCATAGGGACAAATGGCCACAACAAGTTGTATCTCTGATGGTGTACAAAGTGGTGATGAGTCAGCCTTGATGATAAGCAATGAGAGGGCACAAAATTAAGCATACACTTATCACACAATCCAGAAATTTTGCTTGGTATTTAGCCAATGTTAGCAATGTTATCTGTGTCCACACAAATACCTGCATACAGACGTTTTCAGAAGCTTTATTCATAATTGCCCAAATTTGGAAGCACAAAGATGTCCTTCAACAGGTGAACAGATAAACTGTGATATATCCATAAAAGGGATTAAAAGACATGAAATTATCAACCCACAAAGAAATGGAGGCCAGGAACAGTGGACCATGCCTGTAATCCCAATGGCTCAGGAAGCTGAGGCAGGTGGATTGCAAGTTCAAAGCCAGCCTCAGCAACTCAGCGAGACCCTGTCTCTAAATAAAATATATAAAAAAGGGTTGGGGATGTAGCTCAGTAGGTCCAAACCCAGGCACCAAAAAAAAAAAAAAAGCTACAGAAGAATCTTCAATGCAAGGAAGCTCATTCAAAAAAGACTATATACTATATACTGCATGACTAAAACTATGTGCCATTCTATAAAGGGCGAAACTATGAAGACTGTTAAAAGATAAATAGTTGCCAAGGCTCTGGGGACAATGGAGGAAGAAACAAACAGGTGGAGCACAGCAGATTTTTAGGGCAGTGACTTGAACTCATATGATACTATAATAGAGATACGTGACATTCCACATTTGTCCTTTATCAAAACCCCTTAGCATGTGCCACACAAACAGTAAATCTTAATAGAAGCTTTGGAGTTTAGTTAATATTAGTGTACCAATATTAATTAATTAATCAACATAGTTCTAAAAAAGCGATCCATTAATTTTAGAATAGAGGGGTTACAGCTTAAAAACAGAGGAAAATATAAAGTTATATATCAAATTGTTAAAATTGATTAGCTCTTCCCTACAGCATGATCATTGTAAAGAGTTAAGCAAATACAGGAGATTATATATATATATATATATATATATATATATATATATATATATATATATATATCTCCCCTATGGAAATGGCTCATGGGACTACATGGAACTGAGTTGGGGCTGAAGCAGGAGCTGTGAGCTGCACAGGGGCTATTGGTGCCTCTGAATAAAGAATGTCTACCATCCCCCCCAAAAAAAATTGATTTGCTCTGCTGAGGTGGATGTTTATGTGGACAGAGATAGAAAGATTTTTTTGTTGAAAACCGTCTTTTTTTTTTTAATCCCACTTCTGATTGAAATCATGAAAAGCAGTCTAATATTCTTATATAAGCAAACATATGAGCTAACACCAAGTTAGAGCAGCAGAACCTTATTATCTCCTTATAACTAATTCCTCATTTCCGAGTTTCCAATTTGGAGTACAGGATTCAAAGGTTTTTTTGTTAGCTTGGCCAGGAATTATCTTCTGGGCCCTCCCTCCACAGATATCAGGAGGGAGTCTGAAAACATGTAGGCACCTCTCCCCTGCCAAAACCTTAGTGCAGGACCACATTCACCCACAACAAGAGCAAAAGTAAAAAAAAAAAAAAAAAAAAAAACAGCAAAAGTAAAGCCTGCCTGCTCAGGTTTCCCCCAAAACTGTTCACAACACACTTTTCTGTTGCCTCAGAGTCTGGGTGGCTTATTCTTATCTACCTTTGTCAACTGAAGATCACAGTCCTTTTTCCTGTCCCTCAGTACAATCAATAAATATTTCATCAGTGCCCACTGTATACCATGAGTCCACTTCCATATTCTTAGATGTCACTTTTAATCAAAATATAGCTCTGGTTGTGATTCAGTACTTTATTCCTCCATCTTACCAAGTACATTCGAGTTTTATATGAAATGTTTTACTGCTTTTTTAGCATTTGAAATTCTGTTTTCTTCAAAGTCTCTCTGAAAAACAACTTCTTCCACAGATTGAGATATCTGAGCATGCCAAACTTCTCAGTCCATTGTTTGTTTCCCTGAATTCTAAAGCACTTATAGCTAGTATGATATAATCTAGCACTTGATCTTCTAGAAGTCTTAAGTGTTTGAAATACACTTGAAGATTTCTTCCAAGAAGGTAGGAATATAGCTTTTAAAACATCCACAACAGTTTGGTGTTGGATACGAAACACATGCTAATACTTGCTGGCTAAACAGTGCTTTCCATCTTTATTTTCTTGATTTTCTAAGAATACAAATTTCATCACATGTAAAATTATCAGAAGCATTCAGAATAAAAGTAAAAATATCTTAACACTTAAATGTAAAACCTTAAACATTTTTTGTTCTTGAAAAAAACTAGAAATTTGGAAAATTTGGCAATGTGACTGAAATAAATGTGTCTGTCTGCACTATAAAAGGCTGTGTTACATTTTGTAACATTTAGTCCCTGATGGTCTGACAGCAACTATGGCATAGCTCTATATGTTTGCCGAAAGTGGAAATTAGCTTTGTGATGTGGTCACTCACCTAGGAAAACTCTCCTGCACTGGAAAGCAAACTGAAACCACGAACTATTTTTAAATAGGTATTTATTAATAATTCAATGGTGGTAAGCTCCTATTCATTGAAAATCAAATTCTGAGCCCCAAAAGATACTGGCTTCAATTCCAAGTAGAAGGTAAAATTGCCATTAATGATCCTCACTATTAATTATCCTACAATTCAGTAGCACCCAGATTTATACTTTGGAATGACAAACAAAACCTCAGCTAAATTAGAGAGATTATCAAATCAATACTAGTGTTACCTTAATGGTATATGATTACTGAGGAACATTTCAGCTGTGTTAATCAACTCTGCTGTGGCCTCATGTGCAGGATCAACTATGATAACCTGTAGGGGGAGGGTAAGGAAAAGAACCCATGAAATGACATTTATTCAAATGTTTCTGGGCCAATAGAAATTTGTCATCTTACATGAAGCCAAGATTTTTGTATCTACTACTGAACCACATAAAAGAGGAATTAGACAACCAGCAGCTGTATCCATCTTTGTCAAAGAATGTGGTTAGTAAAGAGCAAAGATTTCCTCATGGATTTCTACTGGTAACATGGGAACAGTATTCTAGACAGCTGACCGCTATTCTTCTACTACATCAAACCAAAAATGTTGTATCAATGCTCTCACCCTAGAAAAGAGAGTCCTTCTTTGTATGTTTATTTCTAAAGATCTCTCTCTCTCTCTCTCTCTCTCTCTCTCTCTCTCTCTCTCTGTTGTTTGTTTGGTTGTTTTTTGTTGTTTGTGATGGGGTTTTTCTATGCTGCCCAAGCTGATCTCAAGTGATCCTCTTGCCTAAATTTCCCCAGCAGCTGGGCATGCCCTGCCACATCAGCTTAGGATCTCTGAATTAAGAATTTGTTTAGAACTCAAGTCTTAGACCACAATAACAGCTATTGCATAAACATTGAGCACTTAGGTGCTAAGCAACTTACACATACTCTATTATTTAATAAAGTTCTTTCTCCATAAAAAAGGAAGAACAAAATTTTGGAAGGAAAAATATAGTTTAAAGAGTGAGAAAAGTACAACAGGCAGTTTCCCCAAAGGCTCTAAATAAGCCCACTCTAGCACCAACTGGCCCCACTTTCAAAGAAAAAAATGAAAGGGAAAAAGAGGACCAGCTAAGTATCCTCTAGCTCAATTTCTCTAAAGCAGTGAAATGAGGAACAATAAGAAGAAGCTGATGAAAGGACCTATTTAAGGAATTACACTGAATCACTAAATTTAAGAAATTAATATACTTAAAAAAAAAAAGCAGTAGGGTGTGATGGCACACACCTGTAATCCTGGTGCACTCAGGACGCTGAGGCAGAAGGATTGTAAGTTCAAGGCAGCCTGGTCAACTTAACAAGACCCTGTTTCAGAATAAAATAAAAGGGGCTGGGTGTGTAGCTCAGTTATTGAGCAATCCTGCGTTCAATCGAAAGTACTGCCAGAAAAAAAAAAAAAAAAAAGAGACATTAAAGAAAACCAGTAGTAATATGCATCTACTAAGTGAAAAGGAGAACTGTTTTAAAACTTAAATTGCCATGAACCTAAAACCGCTCTTAACTAAACCAGAGGCTGGAGCTGGAGCTCAATGGCAGAATGTATAACTCATATATGTGAGGTCTGGTTCAATCCCCAGCACTGCAAAAACAAATACAAACAAAAAACTAAAATGATGTAGCCTAAATCTAAAGCTTTGTGTTACACATGAGGAGCATTTCCTCACACACTGATACAGGCTGCAATGCTGATGTAGCATCTCAGCACAATAAAAGATCCATACATTCCAAAGCCCTTTCTGTTTGAACAAGAAGTTGAACTGGTGATGGTAGTAGTTGTGGGGAAGCAACTAGTAAAGGACAAAAAAATAGGAAGAGGGGAAGGGAGAAACAGTTCACAGGCAAACAATAAGTAGAAGTTTCATTTACCATGTTATGCAAGTTTTTCCTAATCTGCCGAATAACACCAGGAAAGGTAGGTCGAAGCAACTCCTGTAGACTAGAAGGCCATGAATTATATCTGCTATCAGCCTCCAGGTTGTTGACCCACTAGAAAAAAATAACACAACATGGCACATATATTTTAGTCACTAGTTACTAAAATTGCAATTAAGACTTTATTTTGAGAAGAATTACACGGAACAAGACCCTTTTCAAAGACATAAGAATCAAGTAGAAAAATAAGTGCCTAAAAGACAAGCCACAGAATAAATAAAATTATTTCAGCCAATAAAAACAATAAAGGACTAGAGTCATGAAATACCTGTAAAAAAAAAAAGAGGCAAGCAATTCAAAGAAAATGTGTCAAGAATATGAAAGAAATTTACAAAAGAAATCCAAATGGGCAATAAATACAAAGAAAGCATATACCCTCAATTGTAATCTGGGAAATATAAACTAAAACAACAATGAAATTTCATTCATTAAACTGAAAACAAATTCAAAGTTTGTCAATATCCAAGAACAGGCAAAAATGTACAGCAATATGAACTCTCACCCAATGCTGACGTCTGGAACATTACTTTAGAGAAACAGACCTAATAAAGCTGAAGATTTGATTCGTACCCTACCCCTAATTACTCCAGATCTAGGTATCTACCCCAAAGACATTTCATATGCACATGCCCAAGGGAAGATGTACAAAAAGAGCCATTAAAGCACTGTTTCAATAGTAAAATTAGAAATGACTTAATGTCCATAGAGAAAACAATGAACAAACAGTATGTATCTATGTACCTATCATTTCTTTCAAAAGAGTAGGGGTGAAGGAATTATGTGTTTATTTCCTTGTTCATAGATGCATAGAGTATTTCTGGAAGGATGTAAGTTAAATGCTGATCCTTGCTGACTCTGGGGAGAAAACTGATGGCTGGATAATGATTTGCACTACATAAAGCTTTTATATCTTAAAACTAAAAATGTATAAAAGATTTTCTTTAAAAAAGTAAAACATAAAATATGATATAAAAAACTATGTATCAACATCAACCTACAAGTCTTGAAAAAACCTGCTTAAAAAAGGAAGCTGATGAAGGACAATGATAGGGGAAGACTATCCAAATATTTAAAAAATTTAGTAGGAAATAATAAAATAAGGGACAGGGGAATGCATATCAACTACAGAGAATAATTACTTTCATGGAGGAAACAAGTGAAACTGGGAAGGGAAATACTGAAATATTTTTTCCCAGAGATTTGACACAAAATGATTATTTAGAAAGTATATAGATGGCTCATATAGTTGTTAACCCCTTTATTAACAAATGTCATATTTATGTTATTCTGTTTACTCTTTACAAGTAAAACATTTTAATCATAAAAACAAATGCCATAACAGTATTCATGAAAATACATAACAGTTTAATCACCCATAAAAATTCATATGTGATCATCTCCATTCTACATTATTTTTCTATCAAAATTCCTAGGGTGCTAAGATGTACTAGCCATATGAGGTCTACTCCAATCTTATTATTACCATGACCACCTACGATGACACTACTCCCCACATTCTTTCTTAAAGGTGACAAAGGCTCAGAGAGATCACATAGTAGGTAATAAAGTACTAGAAAGGAAGGTTATTAACTAACCATCATACTTTTTTTTTTTAGTTTTTATAATTTGTTCTAATTATATATGACACTAGAGTGCACTTTGATACATCATACATAAATGGAGTATAATTTCTCATTCTTCTGGTTGTACATGATGTAGAATTACACCAGTCATATAGTCATATATGTACATAGGGAAATAATGTCTGATTCATTCTACTATCTTTCATGCTTCCATACTCCCTCCCCTCCCTTCACTCCCTTCTACCTAAAGTAACTCTATTCTTCCCTAGCCCTCCCCCGCTCCAAAATTGTGAATTATTTAGCAGTTTTAAATCACACACATTGCCACAAAATCTCATAGGACTGTATGTAGCTGATAAAATACAAACTAGACCCTCCTTCCTGAGAGGTGCTCAGTTGAATCCTAGGGATACAATGTAGACAGAGATCATTATCAACCAAAGCAGTGACAATAGCTCAACTTTTAGGAGCATTTAAGAGCTACTTTGTAGTATATGCATAGCTCCACATAAACAGTTGCAAATCCATGATGGCAACACAAAAGATGGTGGGAATTGCTGAACTCTCAGAAAAGACAAATTGGAAAGCTATAATTAAGATGCCTGACTAGAATGCCCCTTGATACCTCAAAGGAATACTCACTGAAATAGCAGAACTCCTGATGTCTACAGCATAGTCGGCCTCAGAAGGCTGGATGTTCAGCTTCAAAATATTATGCAGAGCGATGCCTTCTATTCCCAGTCTGTGCAGACCCTCCATTACCCGGGCTTCATTCCTCAATACATCAAACAAACTAGGGGGAAAAATTAATTAAAAAAGCAAACCTAGGTATTTAGTAAGAAAAATTTAGATCCTTGCTGTGGGGGGAAAAAAAGAAAAGAAGATTCATCAGGTCAAACTCAGTGCCAAATTAAATTCAGAAACTCAACAAGGGAACTTTTCCCCTTGTTTTATCCCATCAAAGTGTGCAGGACAGGAGGGGTAGAACATGCTTCTTGGCTCCTATTTATTTACACTTCTCAGTGTATATATAGATTATCTCTAAGTATGAATACAATTTGAGGATGAAATAACTCTAAATCTACAGTACACTGCATGTTTTTAAAAACAGTACACTAGCCTCCGTACATTATTTCTAACAACTGCATGTGAGTCTACAATTATCTCAAAATAAAGTTTAAAATCACAAAGATACTAAATTATATATCTTTAATGTTTATATCAATATTAATTGACACAGGCATGTATACAAACACACACTCACACACACACACACACACACATGACCACAGGAAAAAAGTCTGGAGAATTGCTGGGGAAGAAGAAAGGGAATTGGATGAAATAAGATGGGATGAAACTTTACTTTTTAGTTCCCTTATCTCTGTATTATTTTGCATTGGTTTTAGTGAAAAAGTACACCATTTTAATACACTAAAAAGGACTGTATATGTTTTTAATAAACCATTCAATAAAAGCACATGGACAATTTTTTTTAAGTATTCACATCCATTTAACTGACTTATCACTAGCTCCATAATGCAATAAATGGGTATAAATGTTTAATTAAAATAACTAATATGAAAATATTTTATTGTGTAAACTACTTCTGAAGTATTAACAATTATTTTTATTTTTGCAATTAGGAAGCCAGTGACAACTGTCTTGATTTTAATTCTAAGGAAAAAATCTGAATTCTACCTGACTATCCACTCCCCTCCCACCAAAATCATAAAGATAATTTGGGGCTAAATAGTTTTAAACTACATCTTAAGAATAACAAAAAGTAGGTTTTCAAATAATAATGCCTTCAGAGACAGCATTTTGAATAAACCCCTTCGCCCTATCCCAAAAGCAAGAGGTCTTTTCTGATGCTATCCTTAACAGGTAAACTTCAGCTCTAAAAGGGCATCCTTGAAAAACACTGAGTCCTTGAACATGCATTGTGTTACAAGATGGCACTAGATCACAATGTCCACCCCAGGGACAGCATGGGCCCACCTCCACACCCTTGGGGTTGGGGAGTACAGCCTGGTAAATTGTCTTTGCCTCATGCCACAGTAAGAAGGGACAACAATCTGAACACATCACAAGGAATTACATACACATTATAAAAACTTACAAAATGAGAAAAAAAAAATCATCTGTACCTGAATATATCCTGTGTATCTAAATCAATATGAAGCCCATTGATGAAGAGAGCAGAGTCTCCAGGCTGTATTCCTAAAGTTCCCTTAAAATACTGAAAAAGAAAAAGAAAATTATTAGAGAATGGTGAGAGAGTGTTGAACAAAACCTTCTGCATTGCTGGGGTTTACTGTCTGTACAAATCTTGATATTCTAAGGCGGGGTTAAGATTTCCTTCCATATACTCTCACACATCTTCTTTGAATTCAATATAATAAATGAAAGTGCTGATACATAGGACATACACCTTTCTTCCCTTTCCTCCATCCCTCATTCTAATGATGATAAGGGAAATTCTAAAACCTGTCTGAAAAAAAAGTCAACAAGAAACCCAAGTTACCCTGTGGAGCACCCAAAGACTCTTACTTTTGTTCACCAATGCCAGACAATAGTGGGCAAGCTTTCTTTTTTTACATTTCTGTTGTTTTCCCTATTTGTGATATCAATTAAGGCTGTGACAGCAGTCAATAATAACAGCTGAACCCTCTTGATGAAGTTCAGGGATCACACCAAAAAGGGTTTCCTTCAAACCAAGGCACACCAAAAAACTAAGCTGCTGTGCTGGGGACAACAATGCCTCCTACTGCCTAGCCCTGCAAGATCTGGCCTCCTGCCAGTCCCCAGATGCTGATGGCCCTGCACTCAGGTGGCTATGCAGTCCCTGAGTTTTGCCTGAGCCAATGGAAATTGCTCTGATTTCATGTTGAAGTGTCTGTTAATAATGACCTTTCCATTCAATTCCTCTTTCTCTCAAAAGAAACTATTATTGGTATATTCTACACCACAGGAAACTGAGCCACATAGTGGAAACCAGAAGAAATTAGATACCAGAAGCAAAACTTAATCCCTTAGGAACCTACAGCTGGACTGGGAACCACTGAGCTCCCTTCACCCACTAGTTGTCAGCAGACTAAGAAAAAATATACTTTTAAGATCTAGTGTCACATGGGAAAAGAACAAAACAATGAGGAAGCCACAGCTGTTGCTTCATGGCCATCAGGATTAAGTAGTAAGCAAGATAAGGGGATAATATTAAAATACACATATATTTCAAAATATTGGGTTGTATACCACGAATATATACTTGCCAATTAAAAATAAAAAAGGGTAAGGGGACCATGCAGAGTTGCATCAATTGAGAATTAGCATTTCTTCCATGGGAGAGAAGAACTACACACATCCACTTATTCCGGAGCCTTAGAAAAACTGACTCTCAGCTGGTAAATACAGTTTATATCTATTTCTAGATCTGGACACTAGTAACACAGGTGAGTTTACTTTGGGAAAATTAATCAAACTAAAGATTTGGGATCTGGGCACATTTTTGTATGTTTTATACTTTGGGATGCATTTTTTATGTACTTTATGTTTTAATAAAATGTTTTACTCAAAAGAAATAAGAACCCAGGAAACACCAATATAGCCTGCACAATTTAATGTTCTGTCTTCTTGGTGGGGGAAAGCCTAAGTAATATTTGATATTATTATTCTGGAAATTTGAATTAAATAGTTTTGTCAATTCAGTCAATATTTGAGAAATACTCAGTTTGCTTATTTCTCAGAACTATTTAATTAATTAGTATCTTACACATAAAAGTTAAGGAAATTTGGTATAAAGGCAGTGAATTGAACACAAGTATTTTTTTCCCTCCTGAAACTGTATTGAAAAGTCAGGAAAAGAACCTTTTTTAGTTATGAGTTCACAGGGCAAAAAGAACAGAAAAGAAAAAGGCCAAAAAATTTTGGAAGCAGAAGGGAAAGGGGTGAGTAAAAACTGGACTAGCAATTCCAAGAAAGCTTATTGCTAGGTAGAAGGTAGGAAAAGTCAACAAGAAACCCAAGTTACTCTGTGGAGCACCCAAAGACTCAGGAATTCACAGCCCAAAGGACACATGTATAAAAGAGGCTGGCAGAAAACCTCTTTAAGACATGGCCCTCCTGTTGATCCCATACAGCCAGGTGACTATTGTCACTGAACCCTATACTCCAGAAAAATGGAGGCTCATGGCCCAGAAACAGCAAAACAGAGAATCTGTGGGCTGTGGGAAATTAGATAAGCACAGGGGTCCCTGCTGAAAATGGGAGATTGAGGATGTTTCCAAATGCTCTTCCCTACCAGGTTTCTATAACCCTGGCAGCCAGACTGTACCCTCCAGGCAGAAGATTCACAAATCTTCTGGAGACTGATCAGTCTCTTTGATGAGAGTTTTCCTACAGCTGTCAAATTTTTAAATTCCAGGAGTTTTTCATGCTCTTGAATTCTTCTTTGCTGGTATTCTCATGGCTCTCTGAGGATTTAAAGAGTGCCTTTGTTTTCTTCTCTTTGTGATGCCTACTTCCTCTTCTTTTTGTTGTTTTTGTTTCCACCCCCACTTCTTCCAGAAAGGGCCTTGCTATGTTGTCTCGTCTCGCCTTGAATTTCTGGGCTCAAATGAACTTCCTGCCTCAGCCTCTCTAGTGGCTGGACTACAGTGCCCAGCTCACTTCCTCTAAAGCAGCCTGTTTGGGATGTCAGTCTCTTTGTCTTTGGTATTGGAGGCTTTCCTCAGGTGTCTAGTGATAAGTGGCTAACTGCTCATATTGAAGTGCAAAGCACTAAGAATCTGATAGGCCTGGGCAGTCTCTACAAATCAGGGTACCCTAGGAAATGGCCACACCAGAACACCCTATAGTAAAAAAGTCTCATCCTTAAGGCTTCCAATCAGTTTCTTCAAATTACTAGGGTCAAAAAAAAGGTTCCAAATAATTCCAGGAAGCATAAAGAGTTCTCATATAAAGGCTTCAAACTTCTCGACGACCACAACGGACATCAAAATTTCAAGAAGTAATCCTTCAAACTTCTAAATTGACTCCCAATCTAAAGCCATATACCTAGCAACCGATCAATATAAACAAGTGAAAAATTTATGTTACAAAGGTTAAAATTGACCTCCCTTGCAACTTTCTCACATAGAAGGATGTACTGCATCAAAATAAGAGAGGAAAAACAAAGAAGACATGGAATCCAAGAAAGGCGGTTAAAGGAAAGCCCCAGGATGCCTTGTACACATTTGACATAAAAAGCAACTTATCCAAATTTGAGTGATCAAAACTGGATAAAATTGCAATAGGGAAGGCTGACAAATGGGACAAGTACCAATGTGGAGAAGTAATGGCACACTAAGGGGTTGACAGTGGAAGAAAGATAAATATCATCCTTGAAATAGAAAGCTGAAAAATAAAATACCAACTTAGGCATACTAGAAATCTGAAGAAAACTATCTGAAGAATCAGCTAAAAGTTGAAAGTGGATGCTCTAAGAAAGGTAAACACAGTATGAAATGCTGTTAGGGAACATGTTAGGAACTCAACAGGGTGAAACATCAGATAATGCTGTTTTTTAAACAATGTGGTAGAACCACTTGATCTTTCAAGTACATTCATATTCAATTTTGGTCAAAAACTAAAAACATAAAATAGAAATGAACAAAATATCACCATCCTTGATAAATGAAAAGTAGCAGTATTAAATGCTACTGATTAAACTCAGACTTCTTCTTCTTGAAAGGTACAATACAAAACAGTCAATATTTTCCAATGGTTAATACCTTCTGATTCTCTTCCACTTCAGTTCTAAGTTCCGAACTCACAGCTGTTTTCGTTATTGCTCTAAGGAACAAAATCATTATCAGCACTCACAATAGACAAATATTCAGTTTCTATTTTTCTCATTATAAAACATATTGTTCAATAAATTACAAAAAATGAACAAAATTTTAAACCTATACAATTGACAAACATATTTCTCCTCTCATAGATGTCCAATTTTAAATCACTATATATCACCTGCCTAGCATGCACAAAGCCCTGGGTTCAATCTCCAGTACTGCAAAAAACAAATAATTAATAAATAAATAAATAAATAAAGCAAATAGCAGTACTTTAAAACAAGTGGAGTTGTTTCCAAGTTCTTACTTAAATGTGTACCATGTTCCTATATATGATTTCTACTGCTCACAGACTAAAAGATAATATTAAATAACTAAGGCAGCAGATTGTGCATCCTTTTTAAGCACTTATGGTGAAGGTGGAATTCTCCATCTTTATCTTCAAGTAGGATGCTAGACCAATAACACTTAAGTAAAAAACAAATTTATTTATAAAACGTCTCACATCAAAAGTCAAAACACTGCAGTGACTCAAGAAAGAAGCAGGCAACCATTTATTTCAATGCTTTCTAAAAATTTGGCTTGGGCTGGGGATGTGGCTCAAGCTGTAGCGCGCTCGCCTGGCATGCGTGCAGCCCGGGTTCTATTCTCAGCACCACATACAAACAAAGATGTTGTGTCTGCCGATAACTAAAAAATAAATATTAAAATTCTCTCTCTCTCTCTCTCCTCCCTCTCTTTTTAAAAAATAAAATAAAATAAAAATTTGGCTTTTAAAACAATTTTAAATAATCTTAAATAATAGAAAGCAATGTTAACAAAAAATCAAAATGTTATTCTTGGGCGGTAGCTCAGTGTTAGAGCACCTGGTTAGCATGCATAAGGCTCTGGGTTTGACCCTCAGCACAATCTAAAAAAAAAAAAAAACTTATTCTGTCACCATTAACAAGTCACTTCATCTCCCTGACTCAGTTTCTTCTTCAAGATTTGATGAGATGACACACGTACAACCCCTGAGAAAGCCATGGTCTGTGGCACACTCTAGATTAGTAACATCAGCATATGCTATACTCTGTGACTCACTCAATTCTAAAAGGCAGGTATTGCTATTCCCACTCTATCATTGAGATAGTGAAGAGAAATTGTTCATTTGCAAAGTCACTTCAACTAGTAAATAGCCAAGAATGTTGCCTACATCTGTCAACCACACCATGCATGATCTTGTCCTCTTCTCACAAAGAGGGTTCCACTCACAATAGTGATGATGAATAAAAATTTATATTTTCTAAGCATTTTCATATTTTACTTATGTCATTTAGCATGTAAATATGAAGATAATTGGTATATCACTAAGAAGAAGAAGAACATATCAAAGTCTTACTCGATGTTACCTGGCTTTGGTAGGAAAATTCTGACTAAGATCTTTCATCACCACTAAAGCCAACTCCACAGGAGCAGACAAGATTCGGGCAGCAGCCTGGAAACTGAGGTCTGCAACAATGCCAGATACAAGTTAGAAGGTATTAGCCTAACACAATGAGAAGCACATAAAAACTACCTTTTCTTCCCACTATTTTCTTGATAATAAAGAATGTCATAGAATGCAACCATTCCAAAAAGTGCCCATGGTGCAATTTTAGGTTTCCCACCTCATGGATCCCCAGACTGTTCACTGAGCCAATCCTGATCTTTCTGTAATAAAACACTAGGACACATACTAACACCTTTAGAAGAGGCTAAATTAAGCCCAAATTCTTTTCCTTCTTCTGAATTTACAATATAGCACACAATATAACATTAAGACATTTAGCAAATTACATTGGGGGGGGGGGGGGGTGGGACTTGGTAACTTGCTCTTCAGAACAGAAAAGTACACACGCACGTTCTACCCCTACATGCCTTCACATTATATAGTTATATATTTTAAGAAATGAATGGGGAATGAGAGTTGTAGTTCAATGATAGAGTCCTTGCGTAGCAAGTACCAGATTCAATCCTCTGTATCACCAAAAACAAAAAAGTATACATATAAGAACATAAAGACAAGATACATATTTTGTATACATATTTTGACATTCAAGCTTATACGTCTGGTCACTGAAAGATCTGGCATTCATTTATGTTGTACTTAAGGCCTAATGTTCTCTGTCTACAAAAAGACTTGCTTTCTTGTCAATTAATCATACCTGCTTGGTCTTTAAAATCTTAGAATTATGTGAATACATTCAAATTCAAATTCTGCATTTAATACAACAAAATTTATAAAATAAGGACAGAAACGATCTCTCTAAATTTTCATCACCTTGCAACTGCCAAACTTTCAAAGGTGCCATTTCATTGGTACTCTCTACAAGATGCTTTCTGAGTTCTTTCAACTGTTCCTTCAGGTCAGGGTGTAAGTCTCTGAAAGAAATATAAAATCAGTCCTTTGCTCTCAAAGTACACTTGTACTAGGACTCCAACTTCACAATTTCCCCCTCTAAACCCTAAAAAACCTTCTTGGATTCAGGAAAAAAAATTACAGTACAATTATTTTCCTCTAAAAATAAGATAGGAAATCAGTTAGTTCAAACACCATAAAATTTACACACTGAAATATAAGCACTATAATAGGGATTCCCAACTAAAGCAGAAGTTAGTGAAACTAGGAGTTTCTTTTTTGAAGAAAACAATGGGGCCTTCAACTTTACCTGTAGTTTTTTACTGGAACTGTTTTATTTTTAAGTAAAAGAAGTCTTATATTAGGATTTGGAAAAAAAGAAAACTTTACAAAGTAGTTCTCTGGAATACAAAAACAAGTATACCAACAATCAATTCTGGGTGGTGAGTTGTATGGGTATATATTACTCTATACTTTTCTAGATCTTTTTAATTTCTCAAAGAAAATTGGGTAAAAATTTCTTCCAGTCCCAAGATGAATTTCCTCCAGCCTATATATAGTGATAAGTTGTCTAATCAGTTATGAATTCTTATACTGAAATACAGTACAATCCGTTTAAAGCTACTGAAATAGTTATCAGAGACAGAGATGTAACATTTATGTCAGACAGACTTATGGCTGGGAGATTATGTTCTGTTAAGTGCTAAAAACTCAATTCCCCTAACCAAGAGGTACTCTAGCCTTCTCTAATCACCAAGATAAAAGCTCAACTCTTTTTTTTTAATTTTTTTATTTTGAGAGAGGGTCTTCCTTAAATCCCCAAGGTAGAACTTGAACTTGTAATCGATCCTCCTGACTCAGTTCTCCTGAAGAGCTGGAATTACATGAGTGAGTCCAGCTAGAAACTCAAAATTTCTTACATGCAAAATGAAGAAATTAAAATATTCTCTCAGATTCCTCACCTTCCAAACAACCCAAGGGATCCTCTTGACCCAGCCTCAGTAGTGTTAGGACTATCGGTATACACCACCATATCCAGTTGGGTTTTTTTTTGGTTTTTTTTTTAAAGATATTTATATTTTAGTTGTAATTGGACACATTACCTTTATTTTATTTATTTTCACGTGGTGCTGAGGATCCAACCCAGGGCCTCATATGTGCTAGGCGAGTGCTCTATTGCTGAGCCACAATCCCAGCCCCACCATATCCGGTTTTGATATACCTTTTTTTTTTTGGGGGGGGGGAGTTATTTTCTTCACTTTTTTCTGTAGTGTAATTTTTTTTTATTAGTTGCTCAAGACAATACAATGATCTTGACATATCATACATTTGATTCAAATAAGGTATGAATTCTCATTTTTCCACATGTACAGATTGCAGGATCACACTGGTTATACATCCATGTGTATACATACAGCAATCCTAGTGTCAGTTGTATTCTGCTGCCCTCCCTATCCCCCGCCTCCCCTTCCCTCCCCTCCCATCACCTCTCTCTACCCATTCTACTGTGACATTTATCTCTCTTTTTTTTTTTCTTCAAAAAAGAGAGAGATAATTGATTATGCCTTTTTAATCTTGAATCTATAGATGATGCCTACAGACTGATGGACTGTTCCCACCACACCCTTAGTTCATGTTGAAATCTTAACCCCTACTGTGACAGTATTAGCAGATGGGCCATTGGAAGGTGATTGAATCATGTGGGCAGAACTTTCATAAATGGGATTTATTCCCTTGAAAGAGGTTCTAAAAGATGGGCACTGTGGCACATGGGTGAAATCCCAATGACTTGGGAAACTAAAGGAGGATCCCAAGTTCAAGGCCTGCCTGGGCAACTTAGTGAGAGCCTGTCTTAAAATAAAAAGTTAAAAAAAGCAGGCGGGGGATGTAGTTGAGTAGTAGAATGCCCTTGGATTCAATTCCCAGAACCAAAATAAATAAATAGTAGGATAAAATAATGTCTAAGAAGACTTTTCTTTATAAAATACTATGATGTTTTCATAAAAATGGTTTGGAATTATGAAACTTTAAATAGTATCATTAAGAATATTTTCTAGGGGCTGGGGCTGTGGCTCAGCGGTAGAGCATTTGCCTAGCACATGAAAGGCCCTGGGTTTGATCCTCAGCACCACATAAAAAAATAATAATAATTAAGTAAATAAAATAAAGGTATTATGTCCTACTACAACTAAAAAAATAAACAAAAAAAATTTTTTTGTTTGTTTTAAAGAATATTTTCTAGGAGGCGCTGAAGCTGTAGCTCAGTGGTAGAGGGCTTGCCTCCCACACGTGAGGCACTGGGTTTGATCCTCAGCACCACATAAAAATAAAGATACTGTGTCTGTCTACAACTAAAAAAAAGAAGAATGTTTTCTAGGAGCTGGGGCTGTGGCTCAGTGGTAGAGCGTTTGCCTAGCACATTCGAGGCAGTGGGTTCAATACTCAGAACCACATAAAAAATAAACAACAGGGCTAGGGTTGTGGCTCAGCAGTAGAGTGCTTGCCTCGCACTGTGAGACCCTGGGTTCGATCCTCAACACCACATAAAAATAAATAAATAAAATAAAGGTATATTTTTTAAAAAGCTTACATTTATTTAAAAAATAAATAAACAATAAAATAAAGATATTGTGTCCATCTACAACTAAAAAAATGTTTTAAAAAATTGCTTACATTTCTTTAAAAAAAAAAGGGGGGGGGGATATTTTCTTGCTGGGCACATGCCTGTAAAACTCAGTGGCTTGGGAGGCTGAGGCAGTAGGATCACAAGTTCAAAGCCAGCCTCAACAAAAGTGAGGTGCTAAGCAAATAAAATACAAAATAGGGCTGGGGATGTGGCTCAGTGGTTGAGTGCCCCTGAGTTCAATCCCCATTACGAAAAAAAAAGAGAATATTTTCTAGCTGGAAATGGTGGTGCAAGCCTTATCCCAAATACTCTGGAGACAGAGACGGGAAGATACCAAGTTCCAGGCCAGCCTCAGCAATTTAGCAAGTTCCTAAGAACTCAGTGAGACTTTGTCTCAAAATAAAAATTTTTAAAAAAAAAGGGGGGGCTAAGGATGTGTCTCAATGATTAAGCACCCCTGGGTTCAATCCTCAGTACAAAAAAATAAAATAAATAAAAAATTTCTCTCCCCTTTCATAAAGCCTAGTCTAATAAAATGTATTTTAATTGAGCAAGTACAAAATCTATTATACATCTTTTACTTTTTTTCAGATTATGTTTAGGATAAGCAAATAGCTACAATTACTCCAAGTTAAACACCCATCCATGAGAAAAAATTAAATGAAACAATTTGGTTCACCCTATTAATCAATCAAAAACTGGTTTTTAACTTTATTCCATTAACTAAGAGGGAAAGAAAATTAACTAAAGCTACAGGCAGGTCATTTAAGAAAAAAGAGATTTAGTCAGGTGTGGTGGGACACACCTGTCATTCCAGCTACTCAGGAGGCTGAGGCAGGAAAATTTCCAGTTCAAGGCCAGCCTCAGGAACTTGCTGAGACATATCTCAAAATAAAACAAAGAAGTAGCTCAATAGTAGGGCACTTCTGGGTTCAATCCCCAGTAATGGAAAATAAATAAATAAATAAATAAATAGAACAAATTTCACAATAACTGAAAATTGCTCACTTTTAATTAGAAGCAAAGTGGGCATCTCTCCAGTTTAGACTACAAATATAAAGTGCTATTAGACCTGTACTTAGATAATCATGAAAGAGATGACACTAGGAATGCAGGAAACTCTGAAGATTTAAAGAGAATAAAGGACATTTTAGAAATAAATAGAATATACATACATACCTTAATTTTCCAAAGAGGAATCCCTGAACTTCATCAATAGGATCATTTTCACCAATTACTGTAGTGTTTACCTCAGTTCCTATAAAAACAGTAAATATATGTCTAATGGTTCAAATTAGAAATACAAATGGTATTAATTTGATAAAATTTGAGTAATGTAAAAATAAAAGTCAGAAACACCTGAAATAAAACCATTTAAAATGTAAACTACCCCAATTAACATTTTGCAATGTCTTTTAAAAATGTGTTTAACATTTCCTGTGATCAAAAAGAATATTTTTCCCATAAACTGTAAAAAAATTTCAGATGCTAAAATTTCAAAATTAACAGCTTTTAATATTATGAACAAAGGGTTCTTCAAAATCAAAATTCTGAAGAACCTGCAATTAGGCAACTTAATTCTAAATATAATTATTAATATAATTAAAAACCAAAATGAGTATGAGGCTATTTTCTACTTGCTTCACTACCCAAACTGGTAACTTTTATGTTTAAAAAGAAGAAAAAGACAGCATGTAAAACTTGTGGTTGAAATAATGACTTCAAAAATCCCACAAAATTAGAACAAGAAAAATTCAGAGTAAACCATTTAAGTTGAGAAAATAATAAAGAACATAAAACTGTTCATTAAAGTATATTTAAATTTTCACATTGTAATCACAAATTAACGGTTATTTGCAAATCATATAACATCAAAAAAAAAAAAACAGCTACTACTACTACTTATTAAACTTTCTGTGCAAAAAACTATGCTAAGTTCTTATTTATTCATCCAAAATACTTAAAGAAGAATATTATCATCACCTGCATTTATAGTGGGAGAAAATTAGGACCTAGAGAAGTTGTTTTAAGGTCAACCTCCAAAGAATTATTGGACAAAGAAAATAGCAGTAATGACTCCTAAATCTGTTCTTTTTCATATGGAAACAAATTCCCTTTTAGTTCATATTTAAAGAAAACACATTGGTCTTAATTTTACAAATTCACCTTTCACCTGAGTATCATCCTTGGCCTTGTACTCAGTGCTCTTAATGGCCAATTCCACACCATAACCAGAGAGATGAACGGGCTCCCTTCTGGGATTCTGCAGATAAAGCAAGTATTCCATCATTACCACCTAGTTTGTTATAAGCCAGGTGCAGTGGCACACGCCTGTAATTCTAGCAACTCGGGAAGCTAAAGCAGGAAGATAGTAAATTGGAGAGCAGCCTCAGCAACTTAGCAAGACCCTTCTCAAATAAAAATTTAAAAGGCTGGTGATATAGCACAGTGGTAGAGTGGCAGAGTTCAACCCCCAGTACAGCCCCCCCCCCCAAAAAAAAAGTTTGTTATGGGTCACAGCACACTTGACTGTACATCATTAACGTTGCATCTATTAGATATCACTTAAGATCATGTACTCAAAATATCTTTAGCTTATTTTTTTAAGGATATTAACTGTTGTTTGCTACATACCAACAGTAACAAAAGCACTTATCTACCATTAAAATATTCATTCTATTTTTGGGGGAAAAAAAATCAATTACAACTTTATGTTTCTCTCTCTAGAAAATCCTAGCCTCCTTTACATATTGCATCTCCAGGACTGTGAGAATTAAAATTCCAATGTAGAAGCAAAAATCAGATGAATGGACAGTTGAAAGGGCAAAGATTCTAAACCATGTGAGAAAATGGAGAATGAGAACAAGTAGCTCTAGAACCTACATACAGAGCAGGGTTGAAAACTGGTGAGGTCTCAAACCCAGAGGGGCTTTGTTAGTACTATATGTGTATATGTATGTTTTTTACTGAATTTTTTTTTCTTTTTGGTAATGGGACTGAATTCAAGGGCACGCAACCACTGAGCCAGATCCTTAGCCCTATTTTGTATTTTATCTAGAGACAGCATCTCACTGAGTTTAGTTTAGTGCCTTGCTTTTTGCTGAGGCTGGCTTTGAACTGGAGATCCTCCTGCCTCAGCCTCCTGAGCCACTGGGATTACAGGCATGCACCACCACACCCGGCCTTTTTTTTTTTTTTTTTTTTTTTACTAAATTTAAATGCTTCTGGCAGGGCATGAGCTAACAAAATGCCACAGGCTCACCACCATCCTAATAAATGATGGTCCTTTTAGACTTGTTTTGTTTTGTACTAAGGTTTGAACATAGGACATTGCACAGGGCTATGTAAGCCCTGAGTTACATCCCTAGCTCTTTTTATTTCATTTTGAAACAAGGTCTTACTAAGTTACACAAACTAGCCTCAAACTTGAAATCCTCCTGCCCAACCTCCACATAAGCTAGGATTATAGGCTTGCAGAACCATGCCTGGCCCCTTCAGACGTTTAAACTTCAAAACCAACAAGGGTCTAACAAGAAGAAAGAGGGAGAAAAGTTGTTAAAAACTCAACTTTGATAAATTTGTTTCTGCTCATTTAAATTTTCATTTAAAATTTTATTTTACTTGTACAGATTTAGCACCCAATGTTCACCAAACTCATCATTACACACAAACCTTGAAGGCTAACAATCTTAACATAAAAATATTTTAAATGCTAAATGTTACAAAAAGCTTAATTTTAAATCAATTCTGCCTGATTTCACCTCTTTAGAAATCTTCCTTTTCCTACAAATGAAAAGGTGCCAAAAAGGAAAATAAAAAAGGTATGTAAAGGAACTGAATTCAAGAATCAATTTCATCGTATGACAGCCATATTAAATTTAACAAAGATCATTTACATGATTAATTCTGAAATAAAATGCACACTTTATTAAGCCACTTTTTTAGTAAAATTGTTTTATATTTCTTCAAAAAGTTAAGCCAGGCAATGTCTATGCACAAATAATAGATCTGATAAAAACTATTTGATTTTTCAAAAAGAAGTTCAAATAACTAAATTATTTTTAAAATATTTTTTTAGTTGCAGATGAACACAAAACCTTTATTTTGTTTATTTATTTTTATGTGCTGCTGAGGATTGAACCCAGTGCCTCACATGTTGCAAGCACTCTACCAGTGAGCCATAACCCCAGCTCCTAAGTTATTTCATAAAAAAGGAAATTATGAGCTTATGTTCTAAGGTCATGGAAGGCAAATTAATATACAAAAGTTAAAAAATAATTCAATACTTACAGATAAATAATGTCTGAATACATAATTGATTTTGCCTAAATTACTTTTTGATATAAGTTGGTGGTGGAAATTAGAAAAGTTCTCATAGCCAATTTCAGAGTAGAAAATCACCACTGGGCTTTCAGGATTGGATGAGGGATATCTGTGATCTCCTTTGAACAACAAAGGTTTGGGTCTGGAAATAAATATTGAAAGCTCAAAATTATCAAGTTAAAAAAGATTTTAAACATTAAAAAAGGTACAAAATGTAAAGTATAGCTAAATGACTTAAGTAAAGATTATAAGAATCTTTATATAAATGGTATCACAGTCTTAGTCTTCACTTGGTAAGAATATTGTCAGGTGCAAGCCTGACTTGTTCATGATTACAAAAAATAAAAATACATTATATAAATACTAACTATAAATACAAACACAGATTAATAATTGTACCAATTACTAGAGAAGGGGTAAAGGCAAGAAAAATAATACATATCCAAATCTCTCAATACTAACTCTGCAGGATATTTTTTACCATATAAAAATGATCATTCTTTTATCTGAAAACCTAAGTACAAATACTGCAAAAAGCTTCAAAGTTGATGCCAATTATAGCAAGTCTCTCCTGTACCACTGCAACTATTATAGTCTTTCCACTAATGGATCTAACATTTCTGTTTTCCTCACAAGTTTTAAAATTTCTAAAAAAAAAAAAAAAATCTCTAAGGGTGATCATGATACTAATAGATCTTAATGTATTACCTTCTAATCCCTACTATGATGCATTCAACAGAATGAAAAGACATATGAATGAAGTTGTTCACTGTAGCCTTTTTAGAAGAGCAGAAAGAAATAAAAACAAAAAATGGAAAAACCATCAGTAAGAAATTTTTACAAAAGTTTTATGCCTGTGTTTAAAACACTGAGGTACACCTAAATGTACCAAATGGAAAGATGCCTCTTACAAAAATAAACATATCTACTTGTATAAATTTAAAACCATGAAATAATGGATAAATGCCAAATTATGAAAAGTACTTATAGCCTCTCAGAAGAGGAGACACCATTGCTCTCTTTATAAAGGTCTGCATTATGGTTATAACAAATTAAAGTTTTTTAAAAGAATTTTAAGTTATTAATTTTGTTTGCTCAAGAAAGCACCATTTTACTATGCAGCCATTCTTGAATGTTCTTGACTTGACCCTGAGCTACCTAAAACATACACTGTATACAGTGGTTGTCACCTCAATAAGAGCACTAGTGTCATTTGGTGGGCAGACACAGCTGGGCATACAATGTCCATAAGGAGATTCACACCACCAAAAATGCCATTAGCATTTCTATTAGAGCAGACCACCACTATGTTATATTTACAGCAGCATTAGAGGAGGTACTCAGGGTTTGCTGCTACAGTCAGACAGCAAAGTAGGTACTTATTATTGCTGTTTACTACAGAAACCTAAACCTCTTTAGGCAAAGAAGCCTAATTTGGTGGGGTAGAGGTTGGTTTTGCTTTTTTTTTTTTTTTACAGTACCAGGGATCAAACCTATAGCCTTGTACATAATAAACAAGAGCTCTACCACTGAGCTGTGCTATACCTCCAGACCAATTTCATTTTAAAATCAGTTTGCAATTATCTTTTACTTTGTCTTAAGCTAATAATATCATGAGAGATCATTATCATTAATATTATTACTTTAGGCACTAGATTTTATACACACAGTATTCCTGCTAAGCTAATGACAAAGCCTAGTTAATATAGCTCAGACAGTAGTACTAAATTAACAGGAATATTTATACTGTTATTATCTCCATTTTGAAGTGAGAATAGGAAAGGTAGCACTTTGCTTCATTTTGCAAAATTATTTTAAGTGATGGAAACAAGATTCACATCCAGTCACTCTGGGTTCAGAATCCATACTATAAACTATTATACCTATAGACTATAAAATAGATAAGAAAAATCAGAAGGAAGACTTAGTACAGGGGAAAAAAAAAATACATGACACTTAAATTAAAAAACACAAAATCTACCTCTCAGATGCTGTAAGTAGAAGAGTCTCCAAAGTATGAAAATCACAGGTCTTCTTTCCATGCACTGAAAAAAATGAATCACATCCTTCTGGTGGAGGTTCATTAGCTGCTATCTGTTGTAGAAGACAATATAGATAATTTTTTTAGAGCTTCTTACCAAAGTCAAGTTAAAAACATGTATGTTCTAAATATGTGATTAAATTATAAAAAGATATCACCAATAAAGGCAAAACTAACATCTACTCAACACCCACGCTGGGCCAGGCAAGTAAGAGCTTTCTAGGCCAGTGCTCTTCGTCTATCACTCAGTTCCTCCCACATCAGGAGGTAGGTGCCAGTAGTTCTCCAAAATAAATGTTAAAATTACATCTTGGAAGACATTGAAAGATATCTATGGAATGAATATAAAATATAGCATGTAAAAAATGAAGCTCAAAATGTCAATTTTAAGTGCCAAGGTATAACTATGCTGTTCTAATTAAAGATAATATGTAAATTAACATTAAGCCCCTCATTGAATAGGAAGAATTACAGACTCTAAAAATCAATTGAGTAAAAAAAAAAAAAAGCCATGCAGATGGAAAGGAAAATTATATGCACCGCACAAAGACATTCAAGAACAAGGCTGAATGAGACATGAGTTTTTGTGTGGAGTGAGTGAAACACATTTAACACCAAAGGAATAAAAGAGACAATGAACTGCAACTTTAAGGAGAAGAACTCTGAAGAGGAGTATGACAGATAGGAAAAGGAAAAGATATAATGACAAGCCCTGGTGTGTGCACTCATATCATCTATGTAACATACTAATGTTAAGATGTCCTTTTCTATATATGTAATACAAGTAATTGAGAAAGACCGGGAGAAATGGAAAGTCTGTTATAATAAACTGAAAATATTAACATTTTCATTACGTTCTTCTATTTTTTATTAATTATTTTAAAAAAAGTACAAACCAAAAAAAGAAGAATATAACAAATCCTCACATTCCCATCACCCAAATTCAGTAAATATCAACTGGTTGTCAATCTTATTTCATACACCTTTCCACCATACTCCACTGAATCACTTTGACACAATTCCCAAATAACTTAATTATAATGTTTTATTTATAAAGTCTCTTATTTATATTAATAAGAGAGATATTTTTTAAAAATATACCACTATCACACTTTTTCTTAAAATCTTCTGCAAAGATGACAAATGGCTTCATAGTTGTTCAATCTTCCTAATTTATTCCATAAAAACAGAGTAACCAAACAGCAAAGCTCCATGAGAAGACATTTCTATGACACAAAATACAATAAGACCTGCAAACATGCAGAGGTCATGTAGTGAGAAGTAACAGAGGATGTAAAGATCCTTGGAACAAGAAAACTCCAAAACAGACAATAGTTTCTCAATGGAAAGGAAGGTGGCCCAATGATTTCTGTCCAACTAAGCAGCAGGTGAGCATGAAGCATTGGTAGTAAAGTTGAAAAGGGCTGGGGAGATAGAGCCACTCTGTATAATCTCTCAAAACTCATGAGCCAAGACTCTCTTTCAGGACAGAGCTCCACTGAAAGGAGAAACCACTGAAAACTTGAGGAGGCCAGATATACAGAAACCATGGAAGAGAAGGTCCAAATAAAGATGCAGGAAGGGGGGCTGGGATTGTGGCTCAGCAGTAGAGTGCTCGCCTAGCATGGGCAGGACCAGGGTTCCATCTCAGCACCACATAAAAATAAAGGCATGTGTTGTGTCCATCTACAACTAAAAAAATAAATATATATATTTAAAAAAAGAAAATACTAAGGTCATAAAAAAAAAAAGATGCAGGAAGGGAACAATAATGAAATCTCAAAAACAAGCCATTGTATTTTCTTAACACTATATAAAATCAACAGCAGGGGGAGCAATGTTAATTTCTAATAGCTAAGAAAAACTAATCTCACAACAAAATGAGCAGAAAAGTCTCTATATCAAATCCCATACAAAACTATTGTAAAGGGCATAAAAAGGAACAGAATAACATTTATAGACGAGCATTATACAACAGAAATTACAGGGATAGAAATCATCCACATCTGCCCAGAACAGTGGCACAAACTTATAATCCTAGAGACTTGGGAGGCTGAGGCACCAAGATCCTAAATTTAAGCCTCTGCAATTTAATGAGACCCTGTCTCAAATTTTAAAAAAAGGGCTGTGGATGAAGCTCAGTGGTAAAGCATCCCTGGGTTAACTCCTATTACCACAAAAAAGAAGAGAGAGAGATTATCTATATCTGTACTGTCCAAAGTGGTAGCTACTTGCCTTATGCGGCTTCTGAGCACTTGAAATGTGGCAAGTTCAAGTAAAGAGGTAAATTTTTTTTATTTAACTTTAATTGATTTATATTTAAAAGGCCACACATTGTCAGGACCTACCATATTGGACAATATAGCTAGAGGCATGTCAGAAATATACAGCCAGAAGATAGATTAAAGATGTAATCTATTACAAACAAGTTAAAATGTATTAAGATGATAATACAAGGGATTGTGGCTCAGTGGTAGAATGCTTGCCTGGTACGTGTGAGGCCCTGGGTTTGATCCTTAGCACCATATAAAAATAGACAAATAAAATAAAGGCATTGTGTCAATCTACAACAAAATAATAAAAAAAAGAATACAAGACATAAAAAATAACTTTAAGTCAGAATTAGAAAAACTCACAAATGAGGTGATAAAACTCAAGAAAGAATTTTAGAGATTTTAAAAAATCATTTTAGAAATAAAAACTAAGCTATAAAGAATATGAAAATAAACACAACAAGTAATGATTTAAATTAAAGTAGCTCAGCCAAGCACAGAGGCACATGCCTGTAATCTCAGCAACTTCCAAGGCTAAAGCAGGAGGATCACAAATTCAAGACCAGCCTGGGCTGCTTACTTAGCAAGACCCTGTCTCGAAAATAAAAAGGGCTAGGGATGTAGCTCAGTGGTTGAGTGCCCCTGGGTTCAATCCCCAGTACTGAAAAAGAAGAAGAAGAAAAGAAATTAAGAGTAGCTCAAGGTTACAGCACTTGGCTACCATGTGTGAAGCCCTATGTCTGATCCCCTAGATTCAATTCCCAACACCACAAAACAAAACCAAAAAAGAAGTTAGAGGGGCTGGGGAAGTGGCTCAAGCAGTAGCGCGCTCGCCTGGCATGCATGCGGCCCGGGTTTGATCCTCAGCACCACATACAAACAAAGATGTTGTGTCAGCTAAATACTAAAAAATAAATATTGAAATTCTCTCTCTCCCTCTCTCTTTAAAAAGAAAAAAGAAAGAAAAAAAAAGAAGTTAGAGATAATGGCTGGGAGTATAGCTCAGTGCATGCTTAGCATGCATTTTAGGCCCTGGGTTGATTCCCAGCACAAGACAGAGAAATAAAGAAGCAAAAGCAATTTTCTTAAATTTAAAAAAGAAAGAAAGCTGGGCACACACAGTAATCACAGAGGCTCAAGAGGCTAAGGAAGGAAGATGACAAGTTCAAAGACTCAGCAATTTAGTGAGAATCCAAGCAACTTAGCAAGACCCTGTCTCAAAATAAATGTAAAAAAAAAGGGCTAGGGTCAGTGGTTAAGCACCCCTAAGTTCAATCGCTGGTACAAAAAAAAAAAAGAAAGAAGACATTCAAAAGAATAGGATGAACAATGAAGATCAGCAAAGAAAAATCAACATATATAATATGAATCACCGGAGAAAATATATAAACAAAAAAAAGGGGAAAGAACAAATTATAATGTAAAAAAAAATTCTGAAATAAACTATTTGAAATTCTGTACATATTGTATACCAATGTTTATAATATATAAAACAAAATATATAATATATAAACAAAAAAAAGGGGAAAGAACAAATTATAATGTAAAAAAAAATTCTGAAATAAAGAAACTATTTGAAATTCTACACATATTGTATACCAAATAATACTGAACCATAAAAATCACCACTAAGTTATATTCTAGTAAATTATAACTTAAAAGAAAAAAATCCTCTGGACTTATAGACAAAAAGAGGATTGAGAATATAGCTCAGAGGTAAAGAAGCTGACTCATATGAATAAGGCCCTGGCTTTGATTTCAGCACTATTATGGACAAAAGATAGCACAAAAAAACTTTCAAGGGAAAGAAACTGAGATTATTATCACATTATATGTGGAAGACTATGATGAAAGATAAATGAATGGTTAAGATATCCAAGAAATGAAAATATGAACCAAAGTTTTATATCTAGACTTCAAGAGCAAAGGACACATAGAAACAATTACCTTAACATACAAAAACTGAGTAAATATTGTTCCCATGAGCCATTCTTGAGGAATCTGCCAATAGCAACATCAAAAAAGCTAAATAATTAGAGAGTAATAAAGATATAAGTAATTATATAACTAAGATGAAATGAGTTAGCCTAAAGTAAGACAATGTAATATGAAACTTCTATGCTCTATCTAGGGAGAATATTTTCATTAAAAAAAAAAGTATCAAAACAAAAAAGAAAAGGACTGGGGATGTAGCTCTGTGGCAGGGCAACCCCTGGGTTCAATCTTCAGTATCACACACACACACACAAAAAAAAAAAAAAAAAAAAAAAACAGTAGAATAGTGGAACATACACACTTCCTGATTTCCAAACTTACTACAAAGGGACAGCAATCAATGTGGTACTGGAAATAAAGATAGAAAAAAAGACTAGAAGAGAGAACCCAGAAATAAATGTTTGCATATATGGTCAACTGATTTATATATCAAATTATGATATGAACTACTATCCAGAATATATAAAGATTCCTACAACTCAACAAAAATCAAACAATCTGATTCAAAAATGGGCAAAGGAGTTAAAAAGACATTTATTTCCCCAGAGAAGATATGCAGAATGACACTAAATAGATAAAAAGATGTTCCACATCATTAGTCTTAAAGAAACACAAATCAAAACCACAAGAACAAACCACTACAAACTCATTAGAATGGCCAATTTAAAAATCAGGAAATACCAAGTGTTGAGGAAGATGTGGAGATTAGAACCCTCATGCATTATTAATGGCAATGTAAAATGATGTGGCCAACAGTGAAATAACATCTATTTTTGTGAGGTGAAAAAAGTTCTGAAGATGCATTAATGCACCTAGTATCAATAAATTGTACACTTAAAATTAAGAGCAGCAAAAATCATAAATGTTATATGTATTTTACCAAAATAAAGGAAAAAATAAACAAAAACCTAAATGGTTAAACTAGAAGGATGATATTGAATTCTGGTAAATAAAGGCAAAGAATCAAGTAGGTGTTCTGCCTTTCCTATGTTGAACAATACCACCGAACAATACCAGATTACGATATAAATCACATTCCAGAAACAAATGAATATGAAATGACAGGATGAATCACCACTTTACAACCCCCAAAGAATTAATAGATTTAGCACAGAGCAATAATGATTGCTAAATCAGAAAAAAAGAAACTAATTATTAGGTGTCTCTAAGAACAGAACATTACCTGCAGACTGAACAAAGACCCAATTCTGATCAAGCTTCTGGACTCAACTGCCAATTTGTAGGAAACAGACAACAGAGGAAAAAATTGAACTGTGTCAGAAGTATGTGATCAACAAAATATAGTCCATGAAAAAAAAAATCTACAGTGCAAACACTCCAAGTCATACAATGGAAAAAGGATGGAAGAAAACCTATAAATTAAGAAAAACCCTTCCAAAGATATCAAATTTTCTAACACTAGGTAAAACTAACTAAATTGAGTCAATGTGCATGCTTACACAATAAAATGATAGAGAACCGTAGGAGAAGATTCCAACAGAACATGACAATGTGGTTCCTTTCAGAAGACAAAAGGTGGGCTGTGATGGGGTCAGAGCACATGGAGTGCTTATAGGGTGCCTGGTTAGGTCCTATTTCTCTGACTAGGTGAAAATCACAAGAATGCTCACTTTAAAATAATTCATTTGGGGCTGGGATTGTGGCTCAATGGCAGAATGCTTGCCTCGTATGTGAGAGGCACTGGGTTCAATCCTCAGCACTGCATAAAACATTAAATAAATGAATGAATGAATGAATGAATGAAAGAAAAGAAAAAGAGGTAAAAGAGGTTTTAAAAAAATAATTCTTTATACTATATATGCATTGTGAGTGGTTCTCTATACCTATTTTATTTAATATTACAAAATGGTTTTTAAATGAACTTTTCTTTCATATCAAATGTCCACTTAATGTACACATATTTGTCTCTTCTGCTCCCCTCTTTGTCAAGATTCAAACAAGATTCCTGCACTACATTAAACATTTTTAAAATTCTCTCCTGAAGTTGTTGTCCTTTTTCTTTTCCTTTAATCATTTATTCATTGAAATAACCAGATCATTTGACTGCAAAAAGTTTCCCTAATGATAGATTTTCCTGATTACATCCCTGTGATGCTGCTTGACACTTCCTGTCTCCTGTATTTCCTGTGAACTGCTTTCAGATCTAAAGGCTGTGATTAGATTTAGGTTTATTGGTTTAGCAATATTACACCTCCCAGACAGTGTTACACACACAAAGTCTGGTTCCCTTTTTTGTGCAGATTTTTTTTTCCTTTCTCATGTAAACATAAGTGCAAATTACATCTTTAAGTATCTGTGATTTGAAGACTTAACATCAGCTTTGCTTATTATTTATAAATAAATCACAATCCCAGAAAAAGTCAGGCAAAAAAGTGATAGCTCTGTAATTCAATTCCAGAACAACTGCCATCTATCCAATTATCATGTCATACACCATTCAAAATGCTGTTAGCTAGAAGCACTAGATTTACCTGCTGGAAGGCCTGAATTGTAGCCGAGTAGGAACGAAGAGACAGACAAAATTTCAACAAATTCTGCTGTAGAGGTGACAAAAACTGAAATGCAGCTTCCAAAATCGCATGATAATAGGAATAATCAGTACCTGTTAAGGAAGAAAATTAACCAAAACAGTTGTATTTGACATGAGATATCCAAATAAGATAGTTTTTTTGAACTTCTGTCAAATGCTTAAAAATTCCCTAGAATATACAATGCAGTTGGATTATTCTTCTCTTCATCCTTTGGTTCAAACTATTCCCTCTTCCTGGACTATTTTCCCACTTACCTGGATGACTTACTCTTCCCTACTTTCAAAAGGAGAATTTAACTGTGAAATCACCTACTCTAGGAAGTCACCCAAATCTCTACTCCATGCATCAATGAACTAGTTACAGTATTTCTTGGATCCCAGAATATTTCTTTGCTTTCACATCATTTACTAAATTATTTATTCACTGTCTATCTACCACCAAACTAAACTTCAGGCCTCACAGGCAGAGGCCATGACTTATTTATCTGGGTATCCTGGGTACCTAGCATATGTTTTCTACCTAGCATATGCTATTTACTCAAATAACTAAAACAAATTTTCTAAAAAATAGAAACTGAGCAATGTGATGAGAAAATACAAGGCATTAAAAGAAACTGATAAATTCATAAAGTTTGAAAAACATTTAAACAAAAAGTTGACCCAAATTATTTGAACGGGAATAAAAAATCTATTAGTATGAAAAATTTCCCAGATAAACAAAAACTACAAGATACTAAACAATGTACATAGTAAACTGTTTTTTTACCAAAAGAATGAGAAATAAGGATATATATCTGTCTTGTCTGTGTGTGTGAATATATATATGTGTGTGTGTATATATATGTGTCTATATATTGTAAAAAATTAAAAAAAATTATTCAATTTTAAAAGGAAAAGTATTAACATTTTTAAAAGCTGAATATAAAAGGTTCTATACAATATTAGCATCTTTTATACAGAAAAAGAGAACAGAAAGAAATACCTCAAAATGTTGCCAGAATATTAATGGTGTCAATCTTTGGGTGGTAGAAATATGAATATTTCAAATAAATAACATGTTTAACATACTCTATGATCACTTCCAAGAATTCATACTCCTGAAACTTTAACCAAGAACATATATCAAATATATTGAGGAAATTTCCTTTCAAATGTCAAATTTCAAGTCTCATTATAAAATCAACTTTGATAAATTTGTTCCATGAAATCCTGAAGTAAAATGATTTTTGATAACTTAATTCTAGTTGACTCTAAATTATATAAGAATGCTTATTCAAAACCTTTATATATTTCTATCACACAAAAAAGATTCAGACAACTATTAAAATGTATATTATTCTAATAAAATTGGTGTTATTTTAATGAAATTAAAAAGTTATACTGGGCATGGTGCCACAGGGCTGTAGTTCCAACTACATGGGAGACTAAGGCTTGGGCCCATGAGTTCAAGACCAACCTGGACACATAGCAAGACCCACATCTCAAAAAAAAAAAAAAGAGTTAAAAATCAATTTTAATAATTAACAGCAGTTACATAGTTTTCAAAATTTCTTCTTTAATAAGGACTTATACCTGTAAATGTAATATTCAAGGTATGAGTTGTTTTGGGGTTGTTTGGGGGTTTTTTGGTTTTTGGGTTTTTTTGTTGTTGTTGTTTTTGTACTAGGGATTGAAACCAGAGGCACTTTACCACTGAACCCCATACCCAGCCCTTTTTAATTTTTATTTCGAGACAGAGTCTTGCTAACTTGTTTAGGGCCTTAGTAAATTGCTGAGGCAGGTCTCAAACTTGTTGTTCCTCCTGCCTCAGCTTCCCAAGTTGCTGGGATCACAGGCATGCAGCACCATGCCCAGCTCAAGGTTTGAACTACAGTCATGTATCACTTATCGAAAGGATGTGTTCAGAGAACTGCATCATCATCATTAGGCGATTCAGTCACTGTGTAAACATCAGTGTACTTAACACAAACTAAGACAGCCATGATGTCATTAGGCAATATAATCTTATGGGCCCACCATCATATATGTGGTCCATAATTGACCAAAATATGATTATGCAGTGCACGACTATACTTGTACATCAGCATCTTTGACTGTATAACCTATGTCACTTATATCAAATTAGAGAATGTTTGTGAAAGCATATCATAAACAGTAATGAGTGACCCAGGATATATCACTAATTTGATACCTTGACACTCACGTGGTGGGTGGCTGGCAGGCATAATGGAAAACATTCTGGATGGCAGGAACTTAATGATAAAACTTAATAGATCACTTGTGTAATTAGTTCGTAACAAAAGAGAGTGAATCAGGTCAGATGGATATTAAATTAACACTAAATGGTTTAAAATAAAATTTTCTTCCACACTCTTAATAAAAGAACAATACAAATACTGGGACAAAAAATCAAGGCTTATACTCAAATTTATAAACTGCATCAAAAATAATTATTTGGACCAGACGCAGTGGTCCAGGACTATAATCCCAGCAACTGGGAAAGCAAATGCAGGAGTATTGAAAGTTCAAGGCCAGTCTCAGCAACTTAATGAGACTCTCAACAACTTTATGAGACCCTGTCTCAAAATAAAAAAATAAAAGGGATACAGCTCAGTGCTAAAGTGCCCCTGGATTAAATGCCCAGTCCCAAAAATAATAATAATAATTATTATTATTGTTGATATTATTATTATTTGGGCCAATAGTCCCAGCCACTCAGGAGGCTGAGTCAGAGGACTGCTTGAGCTCAGGGGGGTTCAAAGTCTGGGCAACACAGTAAGATCCCATCTCTTAAAAAATAAATAAATAAATAATTGGTATAAGTCTATGGGGATTATGGGTATGGCTAAGTGGTAGAGCATGTACTTAGCATGCACAAGGCCCCAAGTTCAATCCCTAACACCAAAAATAAATAACTGTGTGTGCTGTGATGGCTCTTCCTGCCTACCATCGCAACTCTAGCCCTTACAGATAAAAATGTTTTCCATTAACTGTCATGTCACACATACTATAAAAGAGAGCACTTTTTCTAATATTTTCCCAGACACCAAAGTCAAAGAAGCATTTGCTTCAATTTTACCGTGATGATCTGATGATCCAATATTTTGACTGGCTTCTACAAAATTCCAAAATTTCTCTTGACTGTCTTCTGCTAAAAACTCACTGGGAGAAAAGGGGGAAATGTCAGAAAAAAAAAAAAAAACTTAATAAAATCTTCTAATATAAATATATTACTACAGAGAATAAAAAGAGGTTTAAAAGTTTCCAAATGTCCATGGTTTGGTTTTTAATTTATAATATATGTTAAACATTTTTACACACAATGTATATTTTCTTAACGCTAAGCAAGTCTTACTAGCTCATTAGCTCAATTAATAACTTATTAATAACTTTTTCATTTAATAGGTTAACAGCTATTTCTTAAGAAACCTGGAGTAATAAAAATGTTGTTAACAGGGAAGTCCCAATATAAAGAAAGCTTATGAAACCTCATTAGTAAAAATGCTACTGGTAATGGAAGCAGAATTAGGAATTGATCATTCTAGCACTAGTTCTGCTCAGTGATTTTCTGAAAGACCTTACAAAGAATAAAAAGTTTTGCCTAAGGTTCTCCCACAGAAAACATGAACCCTAAAAAAATTTTAGGAGACTAAAATTTTGTTAACATCCAAAAATCCAAATTTTCAAGATCATCAAACTTGAATCTAAAATTAGCACTGATCTAACAAAATCAGACCTCAGAACTTAATGTTATCTTAATATTTTTTTCAGCCTTAAACTATTACCCTAAAATAATGACCACTCTGAATTTCCCTTTATTAAAGAATCTTAAAATCCCTAAGAGAAAATGCATGTAATAACTGAAAGAATGATTCATGTAAACTGGTTATCTTAGCTTGCAAGCCACAGTATTAATGCAGTGGTGATCTTTCAGTGTCTTAAAGCAAACTACAGATCTGTATCTCTGCTTACCTAGCCAAAGGAAGACTTTCCCATTACTTGTCAACACTGGGGTGTACAACTCTCACTCTACTCCACAGCTAGACACAGAAATATGGGAAAAATAAGAAACATTTCCTGGTAATGCACAGCTTCTCTAAAAATAGGTTGCTGAAAACACCTCTTATCATAATGTATTAAATTATTTAGTGCCTCCTGAGGGTACTATTTTTCTCAGCTTTCTAGTAACTGACATAGACATAAGACCAACCATAGAATACCTTACAGTCTAAGAAAATAGGTACTAACATATGTCATGATTTGCAAATAAACACAAAATTCATGAATTATAGCTGCGTTCATAAGTTAGCAGAGGGGTGGTATGTGACATACTCATCAGTTGTGATAAGAACAAAGATTCAGTTAGGCTAATTATGTGCTTTTCATACAATTACAGGAAAACTTCTTGAAATACACATTCTTTTTCATCCCACCACATAAATAAGTCTTAGAAGAGTCTTAAGAAAATGAATTACTGGATCCACTGAAATAATCCAGGAAGGAGGTAAATAGAAGACATTATTAAAAAGAACGCTGCCATTTTTCTACAACATAACTAAGTTCACTTTTTATTTTGTTTCTTATACTCATTTCACTGAATAAATCCGTGGTCTTATAGATGAAAATTATATAATAGCTGAGATTTTGCTTTAAAAATATGCCAGTGGAGAAGGGGACAAGGTGGTAAGGGTGGTAGTAGCTACTGGACTTCAAATAATAATTGCTAAAAGGTCCAGGGAGAGCAGATTATACTGTTCTCTCCATTTGTAAGCATTCTGAAGTCTCAAAATAGGGATAGGGATGTAGTTCAGTGATAGAACACTTGTCTAGCACGCAAGAGGCCATGGGTTTGAGTCCCAGCACCACAAAAACAAAAGTCTGGAAAAATAAAAGAAATGTCCAAGACATGAAAAAAATTACTTACTAAGAAATCTCATAATAAGGGGCTGTGGCGTGGCTCAGCGGTAGAGCGCTCGCCTAGCATGTGTGAGGCTCTGGATTTGATCCTCAGCACCACATATAAAAAAATAAATAAAATGAAGGTATTGTGTCAATCTCATAATAAAAAGCTTTTCACTTATGACAAAAAAAAAAAAAGAAAGAAAGAAACACCTGCAAACAACATAACTGTCCATCAGATAGCACAAACTGGTGGTTAATTTGTTTTCTTAGATTTCTAAAGTTATTGTTGGAGATCAGAAGAGGTATTTTCTACACAGGACTAGAAGGAGAAGGGAAAGGACTTAAGTATAAGAAGGGTCTGCTATGCAGCAGTCATTGTACTTGGCATATCTAGCAATGTCAACAAATCCTTACAGCTACCAGCAGTTATAAGCATTTTCTAAATAAAGAAACTGTGATTTGAAGACAACAGAAACTCTTTTTAAGGGCACAGAGTTAGTAAATGAAAAAATCCAGAATATAAATTCATGTCTATTTGATTTCTATCTCTATCATGCTACACTCTTGGGCCATTAAAATACTAAGCACCCAATAAATGAGTATTGATTTCAACTTTATTAAAAATATCTGTTTACGGGGCTAAGATTGTAGCTCAGTGGTTGAGCACTTGCCTCGCATACATGAGGCACTGGGTTCGATCCTCAGTCCCACATATATAAATAAATAAAGATATTAAAAATATATATATTTTAAAGTAATAACTATTTACATAACATTTCTGTTAGTAATTATAGTTGTCAAAACATATTCAGGGGCTGGGGCTAGGGCTCAGTGGTAGAGCGCTTGCCAAGTATGTGTGAGGCACTGGGTTCAATTCTCAGCACCACATATAAATGAATAAAATAAAGGTTCATCAACATCTAAAACTAATTTTTTTAAAAAAACCATATTCAGAGTTTTACTTCAATCAAATACATATAATTACATTAGTAACCATGAAACTACAACCCCTTTCATTAAACACTGGCCATAATCTAAAATATATGCAGAAATATTTTTAGTCCCAAAGGGCTAAAGGCAAAGAAAGCAAAACGGTCTGTAATACCTGCACACCTTGATGTGCAGAAAAAGATTCTGACCCTTCATCCTCAACCAAATGGACAAAGTGCCATAACCCATCATTACACACAGGAGGGAAAAATAGTGGCCTCAGATAGCTCTGGAGGTAAACATGGAGTGGTTTCAGATAAGAAGAGTTCCATTCTGAGTTGCCTATAAGTCCCATTACCTTGGACATCTATTTGCAATTAGCCACAAAAAAGGCCTAAAAATAATGACCCAAAAGGCAAACAACCAGAGGTATAATGAAAAGGGGAGATGTTTGTGATGAGAAAGTTGGTGAAGGAAACATCATATTCTACCTATTTCATAGTGATCAAGAAAACTAAAAAGAAAAAAAAATTAAGCAATTAAGGCTGCAATTTTAGCAGGCATTCCCAAAAATCCATAAGTATATGTCATAAAAATCTTCTAGGACAAAGTACGAATACCAAGAAATTAATTAATATAAAAAAAAGTGAGATGTAAGTCAGTTAAGAATGTTAAGCAGAATATCACAAAACACCTGTTATGGTTAATTTTTTTTTTTTAATTTTTATTGTTGGTTACGGTTAATTCTTGAAGATTATTCAGAGAATAACAGTGAATCTCAATGACTTAGATTTATACTAGACAAATGATCCAAAATTAAATTAGCAAAAAGGAAACAAAAAAACTTTAGTTACTAGAGTCCTGGCTCAGGTAGTCAAATAACCTTCAGTCACTTCAATTTTATGACTACTAATGAAGTTCTGACATTTGAGGAGCTCAATACATTTATGAAATTAGTTACTGTAATATCCTATGAAATACAGTATATGTTTGGGATTTGTTTTGGTGGGGCTTTTTGTCTTTTTTGCCATTTCACTGCTGGGAAAGGGGACGCAAAGAAATAATGGAAAATCTGTTAAGCAAAGTCTATTAGGCCCTGCACATGTCCAACTCAGCTTCTATGTGCCCCACGCCCCATGGACCCTCTTAGCAATACCAAATGTTGCTTAGAAAGGGCAACTACTCATATAAATAATCAATGGAACAAAATTCTGCTTTCATATTTTTTGAGGAATTAAGGGGAAAATATTAGTAAATAAAATTCTAAGTTGAAGATGACAAAGATAAACCACAAAGGTAACTGAAATATGGTATTTATATTATAAACACTAGCTAAAAAGCACACTAGGAATACAAGATTTCCCAAGAAATTGTTGCCTATATATTTTATTGATTTGAAGACATACTAGAGTTTTGTTGAAAATACTACCAATTTTAATTAAAGATAACTTCCTGATTTGATAAAAACACATCCTGATTTGGGAAATGTTAAAATGTAAACAATGTACATTTTAGAACAGGTAAAGCATGGTCTTTTCCTCTGCTCTTCCTCTCCCCCTGCTCTCCTTTGTCCTGGGGTCTTCTTCCAAGTTCTTAGGAAAAATGTGTCTTCGTTCCTTCCCCTACCTTAACAACCTCTTTTCTATTCTATTTATTAAACATTTCTTCAAATAAACAAAGATTTTTTTTTAAGTATAATACTCTCTTCCATTATTCCCACACTTAAACTTTTCCCAAAAAAAAAAAAAAAAAAAAAATCACATGATAATTCAATCACTTCATTATATTTATCTAAGAAAGTTCCTAAATGTCTCTATGAATCAATACAGCCCTGTCCTAGGGAAAGACAGGTTCTGTATCCTAACAGGCTTTCTATGGCAGGTATTATAGTCTACACTGAAAGGGGCGGCTCTTAAATGCATCTGAGGATCATAATCTCACTCCCCAAAAAACACCTGAATATTCATGGCAGAGCCTACTTTTACACTCCAATATGTGAAAGAGAAAAATGTCTTTTTACCTGGCTTCTAACAACAGTGGAGTGGAAAACCACTTTGTTGTAAGAGAGGTTGTAATGGCTTTTGAATCTGCCTTTACTGAAGAGAACAGCCACAGTCCAGTGAGTGCAATCAGAAGTTCCATTTTATAGCAAAGCCCTAAAAGGAGAAAAAGAAGGTAAAGTTTAAATCTTAATACTTGGAGACACAAAATAACAATCTTAGTACCTTTAAAAAAAGATAACAATATTAATACTAGGAGCCACAAAATAACATTAAAGTTACAGAAACAAACATTTTTAAAGGTACACAGCACTTCATAGCTACATAGTCTAATAGATATTTTCTGAGTAACTGATACATAACTAAAGGCAGGTAGCATATTTTATTCTTCCCTACTGAGGTTCCAGTTCACTTTCTCCAGTCTATTCTAACAGAAATATAAAAGTCAGTGGGTGGCACAGCAGGTTGCATGTAACCGGATTTTATAAAACATGGCAATAAAGCTGAGACACATGGAACACAAATGATGGATGGTTGTTATGGGTTGAATTTTATCTTCCAAAAAAGATATGTTGAAGTCCTAACCCCCAGTAACCTAACCTCCAAACTATGAACTTACTTGGAGACAAGGTCTTTACACAGTGATCAATAAAGATAAGGTCTTTAGGATGGGCTAATCGAATATAACCAATGTTATAAAAGAGAAACTTGAACACAGAAACAGAAAACAATATGAAGAGACACAAGAAGATTGCCAGGTGAAGACAGGTAGACATTCAATTATACTGCAAGCCAAGGAATGCCTGCTGCTATCAAAGAAAATATGCAAAAAATAAAATCTTTGGAAAATAGAGCTAACCAAAGCAGATATTTGACAATGAAATCTATAGGGAGTGATTACCAGCTACAGGAATCTACTAAAGTTATTGACATATCCCAAAGAAGAGCGAGCAAGGACCCCAACTTATACATACAACTTTAGATCACTCTCAGACTATAAAATAGGAATAACAATCTATCACACAGAATCACTGAGAAAATGAAAAGGCAATATGAAAATCACTTTGTAAAGTGCAAAAACTACTATCCCAGAATCAATCACTGTAGTAAGAACATTTTATCATAAGAAAAACAAATTGTAAATTATATAATGGCATATCATCAAAAATAGGCCCTGGAAATTTACTCTCTGTGGCTAGGAGGAAAAAAAATTCTCCAAAAAAGTCACTTGAATTTCTAAATTGGAGACAAAGCATATGAAGCATATCGAAGCATTATTATGATTCTGGCTATTTTTACTATTTGTCCTGAAAGGGCCTAGATGCTTAATACCCACAAAGTGGTGATTCCTGATGACAACTGAACACCACTACGCAGTAACCCCAGGCAGACAGCAAGTAGATTGTGGTTAAGGAACTAGGGGCACAATAAAAGCCCGCTGAGAAACCTCAGCCTTTACAGAACAATGACTTTGGGCTAAGCTCATGTTAGATGTTCTAAATGTATCATGTTACCTAATCTTTACATAATAATCTGGGAACTGAAGTTCCTTGAGGGTAGCAACCTTGTTTGCTTTCTTCAAAACAGAAAACAATACAAGTACCTGGCACATGGTAGGCAGTCCATAAATAAATTACATGAATGGATAATAACATCCGCACTTCAAGAAAATAAAAGCTCAGAGGGGCTTTTACCTTAGGCATACTGGGCAACTAATAAACAGCACCTTGGAACCCATACCTACCTGTTTTTAAAGTTCTAAAGTACCATCCTGTCTCCCCTTGTTCTCTGGTTTTAGGAGAAAGAAGAATTCATACCGCACAGACTGAGAATAAGCAAAGGCCTCACTGTGAGAACCAAGGCAATCCAAGGATTTTTCATGAAACAAGAACCTGGGACACAAGTGGCTGAGAGAGGAACAGTTTCAACCCAAAACCAAGGAAGTAGGCCTGAACCTGGAATGAAAGCAAACTGACAAACAAGCCTGACAAATCCATTCTTAGACTAGCTTCAGGGACTGAATGTGAGCTCCCCAAAAGCAGGAAATTCTGTCATGGTCACCGTGCCTAGCATATTGCCTGGAACACAGGAGGTACTCAGCCTGAAATAAACAAGCTTCATTCATTAAAGGAAGAAAAAAAACCAACAGAACAGAAAGAAGTATGGAGCTGGGTTGTTCCCCAGCACCTCCCCCTCCAAATTGCTGTTTGGCAACATCTAAAATTTGCCAGGCACATGGTGATGTACACCTATAGCTCTAGCATTTGGGAAGCTGAGGCAGGAGGACTGCTTGAGCCCAAGAAGTTCAAGACCTCTGCTCAAAATAAAAACAAAATAAAAAAAGAAGGGAGTGTGGCACCAAGAATAAAGCTCATACAAACAGGCTAGGACTATAAGAAAGATGAAAATGAAAATCCTACATATCTATGAGTTACCCAGAGGTCCCCTTGTTCTGTTTAAAGAGAAAGTGTCTGTTTTTGAGAAGGCACAACACCACTAGAGATGAGAACAAGAGAAAAGATACACATTAAAGAGTTTTGCCTAACCCCACATTGTTTCTACAAGTAACACCACAGGAAAAGGTTGTCCAAAGAAACAGAAGAATCTCACTCAAGTGCTGTTTGTTTGTTTGTGGATGTCTTCATCTTATGAGATCTTTTATTATTCAGATCCTAATGGCTCTTCAATGTTGCTCATAAAGATGAACAGTCTGAGTGATAAGAGCTGTCAAACTGCTGTCAAACTGCAGTGTGGCACTGCACAATCACAGGCACAATGCTTGTACTATGATGGCTAAATAGAAAACACTCTTAGGTTCTAAGTCCAACTGTACCATCAAATATCTGTAAGACACTACTATGCTTAAATTAAAATGATACCTTTTGCTCATTTATCTACAGTAAGATATAGAAAATATAAAAGAAAAATTAGGGCTGGGGTTGTGGTTGAGTGCTCACCTAGCACACGCAGGCCCTGGGTTTGATCCTCAGCACCACATAAAAATAAATAAAATAAAGGTATTAAAATATATGTATATAAAACGAAAAATTATGTATGGTTAATACTTCATTTTTTAGAAAACAACTGGCAGAGTGATGTTAAGTCATCACCAACTTTCTCATCTTCCATTTTTACAGTGGAGAGAACAGCTAACAAACATTTTAAAAATAACCTGCAATCTGCAAGTTTATGTGGTTAACTAAGTTTCAACATAGTTGGTAGTAAAGAGAAAAACTACTAGGAAGCAACTTCTAAGAATTAACTTCTCAACTAATTAGGTTTACATTGATACATGCATATCAATTAGCAAAGCCGTTTGCGGTGAACAACATAAATCTAATTTCAGCTAAAAGTATATTGTATTTGACCTTAAAATGATCAGAGAAGTTTAATTGCAGAAGTAATAACTAAATTTTCTCGTAGTTAAACTTATTCCGTTGAAGTTAAACCTGCATTAAGATACGGTGTCGGTGCAGCTGGACACGGTAGCACACGCCTGTAATCCCAGCTGTTCCAGAGGCTGAGGATCACAAGTTCAAAGCCAGCCTCCGTGATTTAGCTCAGTGATTTAGCTCAGTGAGACCCTGTCTCTAAATAAATACAACAAAGGGCTGGGGATATGACTCAGTGGTGTGTGTGTGTGTGTGTGTATACACACACACACACACACACACACACATATAAAACGTATTATGTTTACTTCTCTTAATAAAAAGTTTCAAATAAGTTCATCAAATGCAAACCTAGTGGAAAGGCTACAATCATCTCCACTTTTGTGGTGTTAAACTATTTAAAATGCATTCAAGTATTGCCAGGTACAAGGTATTTCAAGAAAAGAGGGCACTTTATACTAAAATTGTTCAGCAAGTGCACCGATGAATGATTCTAAAGCATAGTAAGGACTAAGAATAAACAAAACATGTCCCTTCACAAATCTGTAAAATACGCCAAACAAGATAGAGATTTCGGCCAAGGAACAAGAACAGTTAACATTCATAACTTATTGGCGATGCACGCAGATATTCTTCTGGAAGATCCCACACTAAAAGTGAAACCGGATCATCCAATTTCCAGCCAACAGAGCATAGCATTAAATGAAAACGGCAACCAATATGCCTCCCCCGAATTCATGGTAAGGAAAACAGAAATCTATAAAAAAGACCAAATAGTTCATCAACCAGAATCCTGCAAAGTGCTGGTTCTCGACCTACTTAGGGTCAGGCTTGGTCTAGATTCATGTTAGGGCACTTCCTCCATCTGCACTTTCGTATGTGGGTCTGAGAGCTCTTCAAAGAAGGCTTGAGACCGATCAAGAGTCCGCAACCACCCCGGAGCAAGAGCTACCTTGCACCGACGACCACTGCGGACAACCTGGGCTCCTGAGGAGGAGGAAGGCTGAGACGATGGAGGAGAAACTGAGTCAGGGTAAAGGCGGAAGCTCAAGGTGACCTGAGCACAGGGTCGCCTCGCGCCCCAGACCCTCTCCTCATCCACGAGGCCTCCCCACTCCGCCCCTGGGTACCTGTCACTGGTCGCGCAGCCGCGACACACGCGCTGCTCGCGACCCCCTGGCTGCCCACGCACCGGCCGCGTTTAGTCCACTACAGCGCCTGTGACTACGCCGGGGAGGGGCGGCAGCGACAGCGGCAGAGGCTGCGCCAGTGAGAAGCCGACACGCGCCTTTCCCGCGGCTCGGCTCACGAGCCGGTCCCAGAGCAAAAGCCTAGCAGCCAGCCGCCCCTCTACTTCCGCTTCCTAAAGGCGAAGACTGGAGGACTTCCGAATACCGAGTTGTGACCAAGGCGGTCCAGAGCGTCGCGCTGCCGCCATCTTGTCTCCAGGCAGACCCCGCCCCTTTCCTTAGTCCCGCCCCGTCCCCTAGCTTGGTGAAGGCGCCCGCGAGTCGGCCAGGTCTTGGGAAGGTTCCTACCCCCGGCGGCCGAGACCTGAAAGCTTAACCCCCCTGGGGAAGCCAGAAAGCGAATTCGGTCTTCAGTTTTTCCGATCTGGACTCTGTGGCCTACCCAATCTCTCCTAATTAAAATCACTGTTGTACGGGAAGACAAATTGTCTTAATGTTTCTGAGCATCTTAGACTTTATTCGAAAACCTGAAATTTGACAGCTTCGGTTCCAGGGGGACTAGGGTGGGACGTAAGGGACGAAGACTAACTTATTGGAGCCCTTTAGTTTATCTCATAGGGGCAGTGGCAACTTAGTCTACAGGAACGAAAGTTTTTGTCCTATGAATTTTTTTTTTTCAAATATAAGTCAGTGTGGAATTGTTTTAGAATATGTGACCACCGAACAGATCATTTTACGCACGCAGAAGTGAATGCCTCTCTGAAGGGTCTATTTTTAACTATTAAGTCAAAGTGAACTAAAAGCCAAGAACACTTGGAAAAGCACATTAAAAAGTGTACAATTTTCACTGACTATTAATTATATGACACAAAGATGACCTTCCCTGCAAATGTCAGAACAAAAACTTTTGCTCAACATAATTGTTGTGTATCTACTGTTCTTATGAACTTCTGTAGCTAGCTATTGGGTTAGCTTTTCTAGAAAAAAAATGGAGTTTAAAAAATTATTGAATATAAGCGTCTTAAAATTTATTTCCTGCGGGAATTTTTGTGTAAGTAGCTTTCCATAGTGTGTTTTCTACCCCCCTTTAAATCAGGACAGGTGATGCTTTCATAAAAAAGGAATTGTGCAGGCCAGTGGCACACACCTCTAATCCCTGTGACTCGGTGAGGCTGAGGCAATAAGAGACCAGCCTGAGCAACTTGGTGAAACCCTGTCTCAAAATTTAAAATGATAATAAGAGGGGCTGGGGATGTAGCCTGCTTAGCACACTCTGAAGTCATGGTCTCAATCCCCAACACCTACCCCACCCCCCAAAAAAAGAATATTTTAATTGGTTTTGTGGGGGGTTTTTTTAATTTTCTTTTCTTTTATGTTGACTTGGTCTGTTACATGATACTGAACAAAACCAAAACTAAATGGTAGTGCAGAGATTCTTATTGTGTATGGGGGAGGGGGGTGTTAGTAAGAATTATTTGTTGCATTGATTTCCACACAAAGGTGGTTACCATAGGCAGAGTAGGAAAGAGGTGGCTACCCTATCATACCCAGAGTAACCCAGAGCTTTCTTTTCTAAGAAAGTTGAACTTCTCTTTTTTAAAACCTTTCCCTTAAAAGTGCTATCTTATCTGAATAGAAACATATGTTTTTAATTTCTTATTTGAAAAATAATTACAAATTCGCAAGTTGTAAAATAGTACAGAGGAGTCCCCATTGTACCCTTTATTTAGCCTGTTCTCCAATATTTTCATCTCAAATATCTGTTGTACAATAGCAAAACCAGAAATTGATTTTGCATAATGTATATATGCATATTTCTGTAATTTTTATCACATATAGTTTTGTGTAACCATCACCAAAACCAAGACACAGAACTATTCCCGAAATACTAGTATCTCCTTTGTGCTACACCAATTATAGTCACAGCTGTCTTCCTACCCCCTGGACTCCCTAGCCAATGGCAACAATCAATTTGATAGATAAACCTAAAAGTTTTCATCTTTAGAATGTTGTGTGAATGGAATAACACATTACATTTTTATTTTTTATTTTTTCATTCAGCATAATGTCCTTCATAGGTATTCAAGTTTTGTGTATCAATAGTTGGTTCTTTTTTTATTGATGTCTGTCTTCTATGATAGACACCTACAAGTTAGTTTAACTATACACCTAGTTAAAGGCCATTTGGTTTTTACAATTCTGGGCTATAACAAACACAACTATGAATATTCATGCTTTTCAGGGGCTGAGGATATGGCTCAGTGATAGAGTGCTCTCCTAGTACATGTGAAGCCCTGGGTTCGATCCTCAGCACCACATAAAAGAATAAATAAATAAATAAATAAATATACTGTGTCCATCTACAACTAAAAAAAATATTTAAAAAATGCATGTTTTCCAGATAGATGTAAATTTTCATTTATCTGAGATAAATGGCAAAGAGTGCAATTGATAGATCATATGGATAGTTTTTTAAGAAACTATCAAACTCTTTTCTAGATTGGCTATGCCATTTTATATTCCAGTCACCAATGATGGAAAGATCAAACTTCTCTGAGTCATTATCAGCATTTGATACTGTCACTATTTTGCATTTTAGTTGTTTTGACCGTGGTCTTGCTTTGTATTTCCATAATGGCTAATATTGTTGAACGTATTTTCATGTGCACATTTACCATCTGTAGAGGCTTTGGTGAAATGTCTCTTCATGATTAAGCCCATTCTCCATTTGTTTTTTATGACTGAATTTGAGATGTGTATATTTCAAAAAATATAAGGGTGGGGCTGGGGATGTGGCTCAGGCTGTAGCGCGCTCGCCTGGCTTGCGTGCGGCCCAGGGTTCTATCCTCAGCACCACATACAAACAAAGATGTTGTGTCTGCCGAAAACTAAAAATAAATAAATAAATATTAAAAAATATAAGGGTGTGTATGTTTTGTTTTTTTGTTTTTTGTTTTGTTTTGTTTTGTTTTGTTTTGTTTTGTTTTGTTTGGTACAGGGAATTGAACCCAGGAGCACTTTATCACTGAGTTATAGCCCAACCCTTTTTGTTTTTTATTTTGAGGCAGGATCTCTCTAAGTCCCTGAGACTGGCCTCGAACTTTCAATTCTCCTGCCTCAGCCTCCCAATTTCCTGGGATTACAAGCATTTACCATCATGCTCAGCCAAGTACTAGATACATTTAAAAAATATGTTCTTAGCCATGAGAGAGCCATTGTAACTGTAATCCTAACTATTTGGGAGGCAGGTGGATTGCAAGTTCAAGGCCAGTCTGGCCTAAATAATGAGACTCTGTATCAGAAAAATAAAATAATTATGATCATGGTTGTGATAGAGCTAGGAATTCTAAAAGAAAAAGTAAATAACATGCAAGCACAGAGGTAATATGAACTAAGAAATGAAACCAAAAAGAAATGCTACAGAACAAATACATTGTAACCAGGAGCACAATTGCTAGATTATATGGTAAATATATATTTTTAAACTATTTTCTAGAATGGCTTTGCCATTGTACATTTCTACCACCAATGGTTTTTGTTGTTATCATTGCATATTCTGTTAAAAAAAATGGATGTAATTCTTATTCCTGTTTCTCTATAGACACAAGAGCAATTCCCCTCTGACTATTTTTAACATTTTCTCTTTATCCTTGCTTTTTGTAGTTTTAATGCAATATGCTTACATGTACATTTTTATTATTTATTCTATGTATTCTATTTATTCTATTTATTATCTGAGCTTCCTAGATTTGTGGATTGAATACCATCATTAAGTTTGGAAAATTCTTAATGGTTACTTCAAATATATTTTTTGCTTCTTTTTTTCTTCTTTATAGTATTCACATTATGCACATGTTATATCTTTTGTAATTTTCTCACAGTTTTTGAATATTCTGCTCTGGTTTTATCATTTTTTTCTCTGTTTCAGTTTGAGCTGTTTCTATTGATATGCCTTCTTCAGTTTCACTGATTCTTTCCTTGACCATGTCCAGTAGGTTGCTTAGTCAGTCCATCAAAGGCCTTCTTTTTGTTTTGGTAAAAGGGGCTTTGATGTCTATATTTCCTTTTAATACAGTTTCTGTTTGTCTGTCTGTCTGTCTGTCTGTTTGATAGTAGGGATTGAACTTAGCAATGCTTTACCAACTAACTATATCCTCAGCCCTTTTCATTTTTTGTTTTGAGACAGGGTCTCACTTAGTTGCACAGGCTGGCCTCAAACCTGAGATTCTACTGCCTCAGCCTTCTGCGGTGCTGGGATCACAAGAGTGGGCCATGGCACCCAGCTCACCCTTGTTTTCTTGCATGTCATTGACTTTGTCCATCAGAGTCCTTAGATTGTTAAAGTTACTTTATATTAATCTGATAATTCTGAAATTTTGGCATATCTGATTGTGATTCAGATGCTTGCTTTTTCTCTTCAGTTGGATTTTTTTCCCCTTGCCTTTTAGATGCCTGTAATTTTATGTTAAAAGAGGGATATGATGTTTGGGTAAAAGAAACTGAGGCAAACAAGGCACAGTGTTGCACACCTGTAACCCTAGGCTTGGGAGGCTGAGGAAAGAACATCATAGGTTCAAAGCCAGCCTTAGGAACTTAGCAAGGTTCTAAGCAACTTAGCAAGACCCTGTCTCATGATTAAAAAAAAAAAAAAATTAAAAAGGGCTGGAGATGTGGCTCATTGGTTAAGCACGCCTGGGTTCAATTGCTGGTTCCAAAAAGAAAAGAAAAGAAACTGAGGCAAATAGTCGTTTATGTAAGGTTTTCAGCCTTTGTTATGGAGAATACTGAGTTTATTTCAAAACTGTGACTTTTCGTCATCCCTTGACCAAAGATGAAGGGATTTTTTTTTTTTTTTTTTGCTATCTTCACTGTTAAAACCTGGTAAAGCTCCTAGAGGTAAAACCTACAATAAAGCAGCGGGGCCCCATCAGTCTGGGAACCCCTCCCCCTTGTGGAGTTTTCATCTTTCAAGTTAGTCTACACTCAGGCTCTGGAAATTTGCCAACTTATTAAATGTTCCAGTCCATTACTGAACCCAGGGCACCTGCTTCAAGTGAGCTAATCTTTATTCAGTGTGTCTGCTCTGTGGATTTGGAATGGTAATTGGTCCTTCAACTTCAGTTCTCTATTGGTTTTCGGGGTGATTAGTTTTTCTTGTTGTGAAGGCAGGAGGG